AGAATGTGTTTTGACTTACAGGAATCAGGAGCAGAAACTTTACCTTTTTCATAAAAACGATTGATGTTGTATTTCTTTCTCTTGTGTCTTTTACAAAGTTGTTTATCTCATTTGTTCATTCATATTGATTATCAACAGTTTTCAGCTATCAAATTCCTTCTTAACCTTTCTCAACAAGTTTGAAATCAAATAAAAAAAATTGTACCCTCCGTCCCTTCCATTTTGCATTTTTATCTTAGTTGTCTAGTCACAGGATCAAATCCTTCCATTGGTTCTTATCCACCAAGGGTTTAAGTGCTAAGACCATAGCCTCATGGGGACCAGATATCATCTATGACACTGTGATGGAACTCCAAGCCCAAGCTCGCGCATTCTATGTCCTTCAAGATGCCAAAGCTGCAGAATGCACCAAACGCTGTCAACAGCGTGAAGATGATGAACAATTCTTGCGCAGACATTCTTTACTTTCAAAAATGTGATAGTTGAACAACAATTGATCTTTTATTCTATCTGTGTCTTATGGTTGTTTAACACCACCCCTATCAAAGCCCCATGCTGTGGTTTATGCCTTGATGAATGCAGCTAGAATGAGCCTGCTTTTAATGAGCACCTATGAAATTTATTGATGACTTCACATCATGTCTTTATCCACAAATGACAATGAGTTTGCCCAAAAGATCCAAATGTGTCCCTTTCTATTGGAGTTGGCCCCCAATGTGAGTTAACCTATAAAGGTTGCCAGTCCCATGGCTTTGGTTTTGATTGCCCTGGGCTGTGAGTTAGTGGTTTGACCTCCATTAAACCACCAACTTGCAGCCAAGCGTGATGGAAACCAAAGCCTCCAAAGAAAGAGTGAAGATAGCTATGAATGCTACTCTTACAAACAAGGACCTTGTGATCTCACCAAGGCCGTTGACAATATGAGCCAAGAAACTTTGAAGTCTCTCTCTCTCATGATCTCACAAAATATATTCTCACAACATCACAAAGGCACTTGAGAATATGATGGGTTTTTTTGCAAATATTATATCATAATTATTTGATAGAGACACCAATCATAACCATCAACAAGGACAAAAGTTTGAAACAAAAGATCTAATTTTTGAAACAAAGAATGAAATTTTACTCATCATAGCTATCACAACAGAGCAAGATCCAAGACCAAGAAAAGTAGATGTAAAGGAATTACTCCTCAACTTGATTGTTGTATTCTTCCCAGTAGAGAGCAGTGGCATGAGCACAGTATGCAATGAGAGGCTGTAAAAGTGGCTGGGTCATCACCTTTGCAGCAAGGAGGAGGAGGTATTCTCCCTTGTCTTCTTGTTCAAACCTCAATTCTTCCCGGTGCAATTGTGCTTTCATGCTGTGGAAAGCACACTCAGTAGGGTTCATGTCCGGGGAGTAGGCAGGTAAATACACTAGGCAGACCCCTGAGAAAACTTACCAAAATCATCATCAATCTGTTTCACTTGTTCAAAACAACCCTTGAGCAAAACCAAGAACAATTTCTTCCCAAAACCATAGCATGTAAGTGAGAGATTCAAGACAAATGGCACAAATGGCACAAATGGCAAGAATTAGGTTGACACCTGAACCAAACAAGTCTTCCTTGGTCAGTGAGCAAGTGATTATCAGCAAGAGAGGAACAGATGAATTATCCACATAATTTGATGTATGTGACAGAATTATTTGGCTGTAGACCTTTAGTAAACTTTGTAACACATCATACTGCTCATAACTAGCCTTTTGGCCCAAGAAAACCCTTGAATTCCCTCTTAGCGTACACCATGCACATAGTGGTGCTCCTGTCTGTCTGAGACTCTTCATTGCCAACAGGAGAGCTTCAAAAACTGGAAGAAAACGTATTTGTGAAATCCCGTTGCCAGCCCCAGCACTCTGAAACTTTGCAAAGTTGGACAGCAGCAAAGTTGATCAGGCACTCATACCCAGCCTCTGCAATGATATGGAACAATACATTTTGAGTTAAATAAGTATATGCAGGCCAAGCTAGACCTTGTGGTTTTCTTGGCAGAACCTCTATCTATTGGTGAAATAATGAGATTGTATGATGAGTTGCAGAACTCTCCAACCAAAAATTTTCAGCTCACACACCAAATTTGACAGATATAAGTCCCTCTCTAGCAAATGTTTTCTTGTGCAGGGGGAAAGTGTTTGGGTTGAAGCATCGAGTCAAAAACAAGTGGTTGGGGGGTCTGAGAGCCAGCTAGTTGGCCTGTTACATCTTTTCTGACCCCAGCCAAATGCAAAGATATGCTAACTGGCCAGAGCTTTTAGACAATATGAGGTTCCAAGTTGGCAACTGGTTCTTTTTAGATGACTAGAGAACGGGCGGGCATGCCCGCACCTGGCCACCTGGTTATTACCCTGACCGTTCATTTCAAGGAGGCTTCCATATAAAACATACTACGCCAACGGTATGTTATTCACTGGAGATCTTCTTGTCCCCTATTTATTTTATGTCAAGCCAAGGCAACTCAAATGAGACAATGTACCTAAACACTATACAACTATGTACCACTGCCATTGCACTGTTTGATAAAAAGCAATGAATACAGCTGTATAGGAATAACATAGGTCACAATCAAACGCTCCTATTTTGACATTTGTACAACAGTTCTTATCTTGCTGCATTAACCACATGCATTATGTTTGGAAAACATTGAATGTCTGCACCTCGGCGGATTCCTCAGCTTTCATTCCGTTCACCCATATACGGTTCACGTTTTGAGCAGTGTAAGGCAAGCAAGATGCCCTTTCTACCAACTGAACAAAATCCCCGAGATTTGTTACCGCGACCCTAAAACAAAGGAAATGTATGATCTGTCAGGTAATTTTTAAGCCTATATAAATCATAATGCTGACGATTCTGGACGATGATTTCCAATTTCTGCACCGTCTCATGTATATTTGGCCTGTTTTCCGATGATAAGTCACCCTCAATACACCTCATTAATTGACTCCAACAGAAATCATAGAATAATGCGATTCGCGGCATCTAAACTTTCTTAAAAGTTGAGACTCCTTTTTTGGGCAATGGAGAGCGGTTCTTCAGAAGGACGTATACGGGCAAGGCTTGTTTTCATTCCAATTGTTGCGCTTTATACTTGAGATAAGCGACGTTTGACCCAAAAAATGGCCCAATACAAAGACAAGTTTCAAATAATAGTATCGCACATTCTATATACAACCTAATAGGGACCTCATTACATAAAGGTTGCAGCAGATGACGATGACTCACCCACGAGTCACAGATTGATATGATTCGCGGGTCTTGGATCCCTTTCAAGAACTACGCCATCATCTTTGAGTATTGGAGCACGGTGTTTCAAAAAGACTCATCTCAGTAGAGACTGTTTTTATTTCAACTCGCGTGCATTAAAATTGAATGAGAAGCGATCTATGCAAACAGATGAGACGATGAAAACCAAGTTTTGTTTTACAATATTGGACATTCCATATACAACTCAACATCAACCTCATTATATAAAAGTTCGCACCAGGTGATACTTGTCTTGGTTTGGGCTAGATCACCATTATCTCAGTCCCCATGAAACCCACCCAAAGAATATCTCTCCATGTTTTTCAAGATCACTTCAAGGTCTTTAATTCGAATTGTTAATTCCTAGAATATTCACAAATGTCAGCTCGACATCCAGATCAATGTTCTCAATGAAATCCATGAAACTTACTTTTAAGCCAACAAAGCAGCCTTAAGAACCACGTTCTGCGTCTTGTCCATTCTCAGATTTGTCCCTAATGAAACCCACATATTGTCCAAGGAACGACACCAAGACAAAGCTACATACAATTGGCCATGAGAAAAGACAGGGCTGGGCAACAAAACACCAACTCTATTCAAAGATTGACCTTGAGCCTTGTTTATTGTGAGACAAAACGCTTCAGCAATGGGGAACTGCTGTCTGGTAAATTTTATTGAAAATGATTCATCTGGTTCGTGTATCAACCATATCTTGGGCAGGAAGACAATTTGCCCTTTTTTTGGGCCAGAAATTACTCGACATTGCAAGACTCGTTCAGAAGTTTCCAAGATTATCAGTCTCATACCGTTACAAAGCCTGTCGCCCATGTTCAAGTTCCTGAGTAAAATTACCGGTAATCCTTGTCGCAAGTTAATTTTGTGTTCGGGGAAATTATTCAACGATACAGTATTCAGGTACTCTTGGCCAATAGGGTCAAAACATTGTTTGTCCACGATATCGACTGAGGTTGACGTGAGGATCTCACCGCCAATGCGGTCACTCATGATGCAATTGACAACTCGCACTGTTTTGTTGAGAGGCGTGATCAGCATTCGATCTGAAAAGTATGTTGCTGTTTCCTCCCAATCCAATTGCCTGACCATTGTTGATAACCCATCATATAACCAGTCTACGACGTGTAGGTCGATTTCCACCCCAGGAGAAACAATGTTTACATTAACTCGATCTATGCTCACAATTTCCTCGGACTGGGTCTGCAATTCACCGGACCCTAATTTCAATAACCAATTCGAAAAGCTCACCGCCTCCATGCTTATAGATTCTCCAGACCCTAACAACCTAACATTCTTCTTCAATTCAAGTTTTTCAATTTTCTTCCAGATATCAGTTGCTTTTAGAGAAATGTCTAATTGGCCATCTAAAGTAACCCCTGGTTTCAATTGGGATCGTTTGACGGAAGTCACTGGAAAATATCACGGAGATACCGCCAAATGGTTTTGAGTTGTTGAGTAAATGTTTAAGACTTCTGTCTACACACTGAATGCAGTTCCGATGTTGCATTGATACTTCATCCCAGACTATAAGTTTTGTTGTCTTCAAGGTTTGACTAACTTCGTCCCGGCCAGAGAGTCTACACACCGATTTTTGATTTGTTTTGAAGGGGATTTTGAACGCAAAATGGGCCGTTTTTCCACCCAGCAATAACTGGGCTGCAAATTACCATTCCTATCTCGTCAACGGTCGGCAAATTGTAACGCTTCAAATTATCCTTTTCCCCGGTTTAACACATTTAATCACCAACTTGCTACCAGGGTTGTTCAACAAAATTTCATTTGCGTTTTTGAGCAATTTAGCATAGGCGTTACTATCATTAATGGCTGCTTGCAATTTGAGTAAAAGTTCATTATTCAATTTTACTCTGTGGTGTTTTTGTCTCATTTGTGCTTCTTGGGTTCCTCCATCTCCAACCGTATAAATTTGAGCAAAACACGGGTTGTTTTTGTTCACAGGTAATGCGGAACCAAGCCGATGATGTAAACGCCCATTCAATCGAAAGGTAAATACCCCTTTGGGGCCCGTGACGTCCCGGTCTTGTCCTTTTGCCTCCATGGATGTAAAGCTTAGCGCATTGTTGTAGTCTCTGATTCGGCGTCGCGCACCCGCGGCATCTTTGTATAACACAAATCAGTACTGAATCTACAGTCTTGGAAACTTCAAAGTCCAACTAACCTGCATCAGCGGAGGTTAGAAGCCACTTAATCACGTCAGTAACTGGCTTCTGAGGAAAGTAGTGTTCCGGTAGCATTACTTTTCTGCCTTGACAGCAGGGCCCATATTTATGTGTCTTTGTTCCTTGTAAAGCTTTAGTTCGCTCAGCTGGCCAGTGAAGGGCTTTGCAATCTTCGCAAACCGCATCGCAGTGTCCAATATTCGATTCAAGTTTGTCCTTCAAAGCCTCTTTCAACGCTGATTCCGACCATGAGATAGGACCTCGAATAATTGTGGGCATTCCAAGCCTAAATAAAGTGATGTAATTTATGAAAATTGATAGTCAAAGTGTAGATTATGGTAAGTGGGTGTGAATGATGAGATGAGGTAAGTAATATAAGTCGGATTCAAGGAGACCATCAAGTACAACAACTTGAATATGTTTGTCATAGAGTACTCTCCGGAAATGGTAATTGATGCGTCAACATCAGAGTAGGATGCTTTGCATTTAAAAAGCACTCGTCAAAGGTCGCCTGAAGTAATTCCAGAATACAGCCATTGACCAACCTTGGCGGTTCCAATACCTTCGGTCATAGCTAGTTAAGTGAGTCACAGGAGACACTGCCCACCATCGGTCTTCGCATCACTGACAAACGCGAAGTTTCATTGCTAAAGATGTGTTTGTCTTTCTCGGAGTTATATATATCCCTATGAAATATGTCCTCAAAAATTGCTACGTCCGCGCTGGGTAACAATTGGGTGTTTTCCATTCAATTCAAATCACACCGCTTTGATTTTGGTCAAATTTGACATGCTCATTTCATTACATAACAAGTTGGGTGCAGCAAGATCAGGGCAAGAGGTCGCACCGTTTTTGAGTCCACGGTACAAAGAATTTGTGTTCAAATGCAAGGTTGATAACAATACTGATGTAATTAGATGCTAAATAGATTGATTTTCGGGAAGTGCACCGAACAATAATTTTAGCCAAGGCAAACAACTCGATTTGAGATGTGGTTGCAACTCCATCAAAAGGATTATAACCAACTTTACATGACAAATAATTAAATGAACAAAAATTCGATTTGAGATGTGGTTTCAACTCCATCAAAAGGATTATCACCGAGTTTACATGAGAAATAATTGAATGAACAAAAATTTAAGGAGATGCAATCCGCTCTGTCGGATACGACTTAGTCATAGTCAAATGAAGGGAAGAAAAAACACCAAGGAACTTGTAAATGGAAAACAATGTAATTAGGAATTGGACTAATGGACGTTGCGGCTTGGGAAATAAGATTGTCAAATGAACAAAGTTCAACGGGTAATGTGACTCGGCAAAAGGAGTATATGGGTTTGAATACGCAATTTAAGGGATGATTGAGTTGCATAAAAATATGAAGGGGGAAAGAAAGTTGAGCAAAGAAAGTGTGCAAATGATTGGGGAGGGTAAGAAAAGGGAAAATTAGATCAGCCTTATATAAATTTTCGTTGACGCAAAAGCAACCATATATGCTAAGAAAGCAGTATACCACGCAACACGCAAGCAGGAAAAAAGCAAGACATCAGATGTGTAAAAGCATGGTATCCGTTTGTTTCAACATCAAAGAACATAAAATGTACCACATGACAATAGTTGTGAGTCAAAAGAGTACTAACAATCAAATTTTGTTGAACATGGACGGCCTATTCAATAGTGTAAAAGAAAGCAAAGATGAAGCTTTTCAAAAGACATTGAAACATGCAAGCAAAAGACTTATGCATTAAAGGCAACATGAGGCAAAAGCAATATCACGCATAACACCGTTTGTTTCGAGAACAAAGAACATAAAATCTGACGGATGGTGAAAACAAAGCAACGCACATGACGAAACTTGTGAGTCAAAAGAATACTAACAATCGAGTCTTTTTGAACAGGAATGCTCGATTCAAATGTACAAATTTGAACAGGAATGCTCAATTCAAATGTACAAATGTAAGTCGTAAAAGTTGACATAACTTGAAAGCGAATACATATAGTGGGCATGTGGAATACATGCAAGCAAATCAAAAATGACTTTTGCATGAAAAATCGAAAAAGTCGACATGAGGCAAAAGGAACATAATATATAGTGGGCATCTAGAATGAGTGTATAACGGAAACGGACCGGGGAGGGAAGTGGGGCCAGGGGTACCGAAGATGGCGAGTCGGGATTGTATCTTTTTAGTTTTTAGATTTTGCATACACTAAGGCCGCGTTCACTTAAGCCGGATTTCATGAAATTGCGTTCTGGGTGTCCACTTTTCTACATGTAGAAAAGTGATTTTCGTAAAAAAAAATGAAATTTGATGCTTTTCAAAAAAGTGTGAAAAAACAGATCAGGACGCGTTTGATTTGATTACCATTAAGAACGGTTTTGAACTCTTTAAATTCACAACGGTTTTGAGCATTGCAATGAAGAAAGCCTTTGAGCTTTTAATCCTCCAAACCATCCCTTCCAAGTGCCCATGATGTCGAGTTCTTCAAGTTCTAACTCTGATGCCTCATCGATATCCTTTCGACCTGCAATAGAAATTCTCAAGGTCATCATCAAAGTCGGAACAGACTACCTAGCTTCAATAACCACCCATAAAAAACCCTGTAGAACATCCAAGCTTCGAGGAAATCAGTATACGCAGGAAATCCTCGAAGGCAGCGACGTTCGATTTCGAGAGTTATGTCGAATGGATAAGCTTGCCTTCAAGGGCTTGATGAAAGCTCTTGAAGGCAAGCTTTTTGTCCACCGCAAGAGGAGTGTATCAATTGAAGAACAAGTCATGATCTTTCTATATATTGTTGGCAACTCTGGTTCTAATCGAGTCGCTGGAGAGCGCTTTCAACGGTCCGGTCACACCATCAGCAAATACTTTAATAACGTCTGCTACGCCATTGCCTCCCTTCAATCCATCTACATCGTTCAACCTACCGGAGGGGAGATATGTCCTAGAGAAATTAGAAATAATCCTCGCTTCACACCTTACTTCGACAAATGTGTGGGTGCTATTGATGGCACCCACATTCCTTGCATTGTTCCTGCCAATCGACATCCAGCCCATCGAAACCGAAAGGGATTACTCACCCAAAATGTCTTAGCAGGGTGTTCTTTTAACATGATGTTTACCTTTGTGTACGCTGGCTTAGAAGGGTCCCATGCGGATGCACGTGTCCTTCACCGAGCATTGGAAGAACGAAGATTTGTTGTTCCAACTGGTGAGTTGTTCTCAGAATGGAATGGTGATGCATATTGACCCGTTTGTTTGATTCAGATCGGTTCTATCTTGCGGACGCTGGATATGCCAATGTACCAGGATTTATGACACCATATCGATCTGTACGATACCACCTCAAAGAATGGAAGAATTCTAATTTAACACCACAAAATGCCAAGGAACTCTACAATCACCGACATTCCGCACTACAAATTGTAATTGAACGTATCTTTGGCGTCTCAAAAATGAGATTTCCAATACTAGCTGTCATGCCATCTTACCCCTACAAGACTCAAGTGAGGATCGTGATGGCTTGCTGTGTCCTAAACAATATCATCCGGATTGAATCAGGCGAGGATGAGTTTTACTATGAATACATGTTGAAGGAGCGTTTGGAGATGAGAATGGCAGGTGATGGCAAACCTGACTGGGTTGAGCCTAATCCTAATGAACGAACCCAGGCTTCTGAACATAGGGAACACCTTGCCGAGTGGATGTTCAGAGATTTTGTTGATGCACCAGTGGCGCGTAGGCAAGTGTAGATCATTATTGTTGTGCTCTTATCATTGTATTCCTTACTTTTGTATCAAATTTAAAATGAAAATAAAACTGTTCAATTGCGTTAATACATATGTTTTGTTATATAACACGTGAGCGCTAAGATACAAAACATGAAATAGGTTAAATAAAAGAAATAAAAGAAAGAGATGAAGATACAATGAGATCATCAGTCGCCTTCACCCCCCTCTTGAACCTCTTTGTACTCTTCTAATATGCCAGCTTCACTCTTCAACCAGTCCCACCTATAAGCTTTATGCATATGAAAGAAAAAGGAAGCAGTATCATCTTTTTTTAATTCATTAACTACTTGTATAATGTGTTGAGGTTTTAATTCCTTGCCACATTCCTTATTGAATATACTCATTGCTTCTTGTCGCATTGGGTGTTGGTCTGATTTAATTCTGGCAATAGCAAGCTTATCACTTTCATTCTTCTCCTCAAATCCCATAACTCTCTCAGCCGCTTGATTTATTGAGTCAGCTACTAATTTTGGTCCTGTAGTACGTGAACGCTTGGCAGTTGAAGTCGAGGGTCCTGAATTGACTGGGCTCCTTTTGCTGCGTACGAATCGTCTTTCTGGAGTCTCGTCCTCGTCACTAGCACTGTCGTCGAGAGCACATTCAGCGGCTGTGAGACCATTGGCAGACACCCTGCTAGTTCTTGCTCTCTTGTTAAGGTGAATGAAACAAAAAAAAGATAAAAATAAAAAAGAATCAAACGATCTAAACGATTGAACAGGAAAAAAAAGAATAGAAAGAAAAGAAAAGAAAAGGAAGGTATCTTACACCACTCTTTTTCTTTTTTGAAGGAGGTGGCTTATGACGTTGTATTTCCTCAATGTCGGAATCCTTTGTTGGATCAGAGCTGTGAGATTCAGATCGATCTCCTTTTGAACCTTTTTCTGATGGGATATAACACAGTTGAAACAATAGATTAGTTAGTTCAGAGTAATGTAGATTGTATTCAGATGAGGCAATAGAATATACCTTCTTCATTCCCATCTGAATCATCGCTTTTCGGGGAGACGACTTTTTTCTTCTTGCTTTGAGTTCCAAAACCGTCATTACAATTGGCTCGTAAGCTCTTCTCTGGCATGATTCGTGATGTGGCTTCATATGCTGGAAAACCACCTTTGCGGATTGGTTTTGCATCGTTGTTCCCTTCCTATCATACAGACATCACCTCAATCAACTATGTATATATGTGAAGGTTGATTGAAATTGAGTTGCTGACCTTTTCGATCCAGTTAAACCACCATTCCTTATCAGCGTTGACCTCGCCAGTGACCGTGTCAGTTCCAGGAGCACCAGATGATCCAATGATCTTGTCAAAAGCCTTATAAGTCTTCTTTAACTATGTATAAAATGAATCAAATAAAACCAATGAAGCAAGAGAAATGTGAGTACAAAGACCACAAACTCGATTTTGAAGAAAGAGAGGAGTAAGTGGATGATAAGAAAGACAAGTCGATTTGGGCTTGAATCCTGTCAATCCCCAAATCGACCCAGATGTGGTTTTGAGCAGCCTGAATCCTGTCAGAGCTGCACCACTTGGAAAGGAAGGGTAGCCAGAAAAGGAAAGGAACAGATGAAGGTAAAGGTAAAGAACGATCCATACCTTCTGAATTCGATTTTTTAATCTGGACAAAGGTACCTTGACTTTGAATCTATCGTTATAATTGGTCAATACCTGCGTCCAGCCTTCGTGCTTGAGGCCACCATCATTCCCTTTTCCTAAGTCGGTTTGATGTTTGAACTCGTCGATGAGATATAAAGTTTCTTGTTGAGTCCATATAGCACCACCACCCTCCTCTTCTTCCTTATTATCATCTTCATCCTTACTACCTTCATCTTTGTTCTTGTCTTTGACTTTGATCGACTTGCCAAGAGAGGCTGGTTTTGATGTTGATTTCGATTTCGGTTTTGATTTTGGTTTTGATTTCAATTTCGATTTTGACTTCGATTTGTTTTCTTTTGCTCGCTCGATGACCACTTCATCGTCACTGCTATCTTCAGATCGAGGCATTGAGTTTTGGTTGAGTTGAGTGGAATCCAGATGATGGTGATGGTGAAAGAAGTTTGTGATTTGTACGTTATAGTGGGACTTGTCACAAATTTCAGAAGACCCGTGCGATAGAAGGGGACTTGTCCGATTTTGGCCGATTTTGGAAAACAGGTTTGAATGAAAAGGGTCAAAAGAAATCACAGAACGTGATTTCTATGTAGAAGAATCGACTTGGACTGGATTCTTGAAATGTGATGAAAAATCGCATTTTACAAGCATTCTGTAAGTTCTAGAATGCTTGTAAATAAGATATCAAACGCGTTTCACAGAATGTGATTTCTGCGCATTACAGAATGTGAAATTTCAACAGAAATCGCTTAAGTGAACGCGGCCTAAGGGCACATTCACTTAAGGAATTTCTGACCAGAAATCACATTCTGTGAATGCTTTAACACCAAAATGAAAGATGTACCACCAAATAGACACTTTAAATTTTACAGAATGTGATTTCTCACCAGAAATTGCTTATGTGAACACACCTTAACTGCATATTGTCAGGAACTAGTTTCAAGCCAGATTGGAGTACAGTACAAACACAACAACAAAGATAGCTCCCACATAATGACAGCATAGCCAATGCCCCACCAAGGTAATTGAAGGATACAGTTTTTAACTTTGAGTATACCCCTTGATAACAGGTCTAACATGGTCAAAATGATGACAAAGTAAAAGGAGACAAAAATGAAAGGAAATTACTCAATTGGGCAACCCCTTCCCAAACCTTCAGGTCCACAAGGTAATCACTATTTCAAATGGAATCACTTTGCTCAACAATCTTGTCCCACTCACTTGGATCCAGGCCAATCTTCAATACCTTCAAAGTCCAAAAAGTCCTTTCAGCAAGTGTAACATCCCACATCCCAGTTTGTTTACTTTGTTCATTGAGCTGATCAACTTTTGTTTCCATTGATCTTGCATAATTTTTATAGTATGGTAATGTGTACTTGACTGGTCCAATATCAGATTGTAAATACTCTGCTGATTCATCTGACATGAATGGAATCAATTTGGGTCTCACAAATGAGAGAAAAGCTGTTCAAGAATTTCCAAAGAAATTAAGTTTCAAGTGATCAGTTTCATTTTGTGCCTATGGACTCCCGTAGAAAATGCAAAGAAACTACAACATACCTGAAGCAGTTGCAGGACCAATACCTTTAAGCTTACACATCGTCTCAATAGCACCAGAAGTCAATGCATCTTCAACACTCTTACAATCTATCAACTTCTTCACCGCTTCATCTATCACACTTGCTACTAGATCTTCAGAATTGCTATTTACAAGTGATGGCAACGTAGGTCGAAACTTTCCTCTTAGCAATTTCCATCGTAAAACAGTTTCAAGTTTGGTCTTTAAAGCCCATTCCGAATCTAATTCTTTGTCTTTATCGCTTGTTAGTTGAACATCGAGATCTAGTAGCTTTCGATCACCCTTCTGTTTTAAAAGTAGGGCCTGTTCATAAAAACTTGGGTCAGAGAGCTGTGTTAGGAGTTTGATAGAAACTTGATGCTCTTCTGTCGAAGTCTTGATTGTTTGGGATTTTTTTGATGTCGAAGCTTTTAATTTCTTGCTGGGTAGATCACTTGTGGATGGTAATGCATTCAAATCAGGAGGTTCCTGATCCTTTGGATTTCTAGATCGTGAACGTGAGATACGATAGGTTGGTGGGGCCGGATTTTTCGAATGGTCTGCTGACTCAGAGTTTCCTTCGTCCGACTGCTTGAGTTTTCTTTTGGGAGGCATCTTGAATGCAAAATGAATGTGAGTGGTTGGAGTCTGGCCTCTGGAGAGGCGATGTGCGATGAGAAAGTTTTCTTGGCGGCAGCCGTATTTACAAATGTCAAGATGTCCACAGCTCAGCCTCAAGGGCTAAAGCAGGGCCGGACTAGAGCTCCCGGGTAATGGAAGTATCCGACCCAAGTAGAATCGTCCGGGGAATTGTTGAATCCACATATTTCAATTCTTCAGACCTTCACTTCATCAGAGCATTCATCATCGCCTCCATCATCAAGATCGTTCTCAAAGAATATCAAGAAAACTTCAATTTATCAGCTGGCTATACTATATCCCCAAACGCTCAATCTTCAAAGTGATATCAAGACTGCTGCACAATCAAAAACCAAACATTGAGATTAGGTCTGACACCTGGCCAAGATGACATCACCTCTGTCAGATGGCACTGGTTTCTCTCAAGCTTTAGCAATCTGGAGAGGCAAGCACCTTTCTTTCAATCTCAATCTGAATCTACGAAAGCTAATCCAGAAATGAAACCTTCATTTCGCAGATATCAATCTTACCACACTTCAAAAAACACTAGATGCATCAGGACTAGAGATAGTTGAAAATCAAAAGGATAGTTTAATGGGACGTAAAAAATTAGCAGAGCAAACTCGAGGTATGCTCAAACTATCTTCGATCATTCTTATTGTACAATTTTTCAAACATCAGATTTGAAATTTACCGATGGGTGTGTCAATCTTAATGACCACTCAAACACAGTATGATATCTAATGATTATGATGATTATGAATTTTGGGATAGAATTTAAAAAGATTTCGGATGAGGAAAAAGTGGGAGCATTTAAAGGTCTTTTGAAGGGTAAGCCGTTTATTAGCTTCGTTAGAACTCTCATAACTGATCACATATTTTGCTTTCCTGATCCATCACTTTATGATTTCAATCAGCATATCAGTCTGAAATCGATGCACTCACTAAGCGATCCAAAACATCCGAATCAGCCTTTCTGAACATTTACAAACTCTTGGCTGAGGCACCCGACCCATATCCCATACTGGACGCAGCTGTTGACCAGACCGTTCGAGCAACAGAAGCTAAGCTACTAGAATCCGAACTAGCGAGAGCCAAACAGGAAATCAGTTCCCTAAAAACACAACTAGCTGAATCTGAAAAGGTTGATAAAGAATTACAAAAACAGGTAGAGAAGACAGAAAGATTAGAAAGTAAGATGGAAGAAATGGTCAAGACTCAAGTCTCAAGTAAAGAAGCAGAATTAACCGCAGTTTATGGTGAAAGGATACTCAATTTCCAACAACGAGAAAAGGATTTGTCTAAACAATTAGACCTCACCAAGCGACAATTAACAGACCTTCGAACAAGTGACGAATCGAATCAGGCTAAGATTCTAGATGATTTTTCACGACGAGAGTTTGAGACAGTCTCAAGACGTGTAGAGATCGAGATGGTCGAGGCTGACTTGGAACGTTCTCAAAGAAGAGTAGAAGAAGTTGAACGAAGGAATGAGAAACTTAGAGCTGAGATTGAAGTAGTTCGAAGTGGAAGTGAGGGACAAGAGCGGTGGGTCAAGAAGTCATTGCACATCTGGTCTTTTTCAAAATGTTGGTTACTTTTGAGCTTACTCAGTTTATATGATGGATCTCAGAATTCGATCACTGGAAAGTCAGATCACGGAACTTCAAACAGAAGCCACTAGATTGTTATCTACCTTGGAAACTCAAAAACAAATCATATCTCAAACTAAGGAAGAAAAAGTTCAACAAGAGACTGAGTTTACTAAACGTATTAAGAAGCTCGAAGACGAAATTTCGACCCTACGGACAAAGACAGCGCAATATGCTGACTATGATGAAATTAAGCGAGAGTTAGAGATTATCAAAGTCAGTATTTTGAATTTGCTTATTATCAAAAGTCTAAAATTGAATTTGATCCTATCCTATATGTAGTTTGTTGAATTTGCTTCATTGGATCTTGAGGAGGAAGATGAAAACTTTGGTTATGGTGATTCAAGCCCTGGATCATCTTCATTTAATCTTTCTATCAAGATGCCAAATCCAAATGCTGATAAAGCAAACAAACAAAAAACCAAATCCTTGGAAAACTTGCTCATGGGTAAGAACCGAAAATTACAGGACGATCTTACAACGCTGAGGGTCATGCATGATGAACTTTTAACCACCTCTCGTAAGAATGCTATTGAAGCTGATAACCTGAGAGAAGAATTGGAACAAACGAAGATATTGAATGATAAGTTGGAAAATGATCTGGTCAAGATTCAGACTTCGTCGAGCCAGCATAGACTCAACGGAGCTCATACCGGATCATCCTCATCTGCACTCAACTCACAGTCTAGAACTGATGTATTAGAAGGCCTCAACCTCGGCCTTAGACAAGACACCAAAGGATTTAATGTTGATGGCTCTACAACCGAATCAAGTCAAGATTCCAAAGGCAAATCTACCGCCGGCCCCACCACATCAGGAAATGACATGAAACTATCAGCTGAAACGTCGATCCTCCCGATCATCACCAGTCAACGTGATCGATTTCGACAAAGAAACTCAGAACTCGAAGAAGAGTTAAGAAAACAATTTGACATTATCACCTCAACTAGAAATGAAATGAAAAGTTTACAATCCGATAATTTGAAATTATATGAAAAAGTTAGATATTTACAAAGTTATAGAGATGATAGTGTTTCTGGATCGATCATCACTGGTCCATCTGGTTCTAGACTTACGAATAATACCTTACCTAGTGCAGTAAGTAGAAAGGATGAAGAGTTGAGTAAGTATAGGGGGATTTATGAGGAACATATGAATCCATTTGAAAAATTCCGAGGAAGGGTTAGTTTTTTATCATTCTCCCCTTTCTTTGATCAATTCTCTTACTGATAATATGTATATATGTCTGGCCTTCCACATTTTAAACTTGGACTTGAATTCTTGAAATGTGATGAATTAGGAACGGATGGGTGCCCTACAAGCTCTAAATCCACTGGATAAGCTTGTACTACATGTTGCCAACTTTGTTCTAGGTAATCGAGTGGCCCGAAATATATTCCTACTATATGCTGTCATTCTTCATGTTTTAATCTTCATGAGTTTCAGTGAGACAGCCTTGACGTGAGTAGTATTAGCTCATCTTTTCTTGTATTTTTATTTTCTTAGATATTGATTCACGTGAATTTTTTTCTTGTAGGTCTGATCACTTGAGACAATGTGCAGCACCATCGGTAGTTGATATGCCACAAGTATCTGGGGATGTAGCTGGATGAGTTTAGTATTTAAAGATCCTTGTAACGCATATACTTTCTTTATTCTTGGTGATAATCTATTCCATTTGTGTGATGTGGTGTATGTGAAGCGAAATGTTCAATTTTGACTTCCGGATTTTGACTTCAGATTCTCACAAGAGGTGATGACTCTGAGGTGATCAGGTCCACCTCGGAATAAAAAGATGAACCAGACATCATACTTTATGAATGCACAAATCTATTTATTCCTTGATAAAAACAAAGTTCCAAAAAAGCTCAGACTCTCATCTTGTTCATTCTAAATAGCCTCTAGAAGTTGAACCAACTCAAGAATCCAACTTCCCTCACCTTTTTTATATATATTTCTCATTTCTGAATCTCATATAAAAACTTGAGTACATAAGGATAATTTTTTTAATTTATTTATTTCACTGAAAGTACTTGAGAAAAAAAGCCCTCTTAAAGGTAAGAAATAAGTAGTACTATGTATATCACACAAACACACACACACACATAACACACACTCAACTTCTTTATATTTATATGTATATATATACCCAACAAAAAACAAAACGAAGAAACAAAAGAAACAAATTACTAATTAAGTAAAAACAAAAAAACGAAAACAAAAAAGTTAATGATGCCCAAATTAAAAAAAAAAGTAAAGTGTGATTTTTTTTTTCTCAAATCTTTTTCTTCACACAAAAAAAGTAAAATGAAAGAAAAGTTTTGTGATTGAAAAGAAAAAAAGATAAAAGTTTTATAAAAGAAGAAGAAGAAGGAATATTCTATTTATATTTATTTATACCATTTTTTTTCTTATCGAAAAAAAAATGTAAAAAAAAGATTTGATAAAGAATCGAATTACTACTTAAATTTGAATTTTTATAAACTCGAGAAATTCAAAAAAAAACCTCCCAACAAAGAATGATTGAATAATTCATATGTAGTAGGATAAGTTCAAAAGGAATAGTTGTAATAGTTGTAATAGTTGTGATAGTGATACCAAATATCGAGTTTCCAAAATTTCAAAAAAAGCTGTTTCTGCCTTTCTTTCTTCCTCTGTTCTTGGTTCTTTGGTTCTTTAATTCGATTATTTTTTGATCAATTAAAGTTGTTCAATCAATTTCAAATATTCATGCCAACAAGTATGAATCTTTCGACACGTGAATTTTAAAATTAAATCCTTTTCGAAAAATTTAAATTCTTTTTGATCTTCTTCTTCAATCCTTAACTCATTTCCTTCTTCATCTAATGATTTATATTTCGAAAGAAATTCTTCGGTTTGAATCGTTTCATTTAAAAATTTACTAATCACTTTTGAATGTAAATATTTATCTTGAAATCTTACTTGAATTTCAATCTATTATCATCGAGAGGTAACCACAAAGGGTGTGGGTAGAGATTTCATCAGTCTTCAAATCAATCAAAGACAAAAAATCCTCAGAAGAACATTAAACTTTACCTTTATCCCACTAAGTTTAATTCCTTTAGGAGGTGTAACACTAACGCGGATAGCAAAATTAGGATGAAGATAATCAAGTAAACCAGCTTTAAAACAAGTTTGAGTAGGTAACATTAATAATCCAATAGGTTGTGATGATGGATGTAATTTCAATGGTCCATATTTTCTCATCATCTTAATAGGAATTGGTAAGATTCTTCTGAATGGCACTTTAGTTGTATGTAATTGTTTACAAATTGAATGAATAGCTGCTTGTACCCTGTAATTTTGAAAAAAATGACTTTGATCAGTACGTTGAAGGAGACTCAAACCAATCAAGATAAGATTGATGAAGAGTTTGTAATGACTTACATGGACTGGTGATGGATATATTTCAACTGACGACGCGAGAGAACGAATCTACAAAAACAAATGACCACAATAAGACTTCGATCAGAACCTGATCAAAGTATGAAAATTAAAAACTACATACTTGTCATCAATCTGTGCCTTGATACCATCTTCATCTTCTTCTAATTCATTTTCGTCAAATGTAGGTACAAGGATTTCAACATTATCTTGAACTGTTAAATTCCTTTTACCATCAACACTTCGAAGAAGTGACAATGAACATTGAAATCCAGTCTCTTTAACCAAGATTGTCAAATAATAATCCGGAAATCCAGGTAGATCAAAGTAGGTGATCATAGGAAAGATATGATGATAGATTGGTGGTGGTACGTTTCGATTCATTCCACGAGGTGAATGTATAATCAATTCACGCCATTGGACTGGCATATCACGAAAAGCTCGCAAACCCATCCGTATGCCTTTATCTTCGACTTGTTCCAATAGAACCTGATTTGGATAGACAGGTTAAATGATTTGGATCTCTATATCATAATTTATCATTGACTCACTTGTGATTTCAGGTAGATCAAAAGGTTCTTCATCCCTGGGGGATTTATATTGATCCTACGAGAACACGAGCTGTAGTCTGCCGAGACGAACTCCTTTTCACCAATCACCACCAAATCACCATCCATCTTGTCTTTAAAATCACTAATGCGGTCTACCAACACAGGCAAAATCTTGAATCGACCTGAATATTTATCAAGAGTGACCTTGATGACATGTCGACCATGCAATGCAACTCGAATCGCTTTAACTTGAGGACATAATGGAGAGCTGGAAGGGATGTGAAACGCCTGGCGCGGAGTTGGGAAAGGCTCGAACTGAATCGGGGTCACTGATGGGAAGTAAGGCAACAAAGGACTGAGGGATGGATGCCATTCCGGTGTTGGCATCGCAACCAGCTGAAGGTACGCCCGCCGTAGCATACAATCCATTTGTGCTCGTACTGCCTTTAAGATGATATGCTCTAGATCAAGCTCAGTATACTCGACCTCGAGCTCAAGTCCGCCCTTGCCGTCAGGTTTGAATAATATACCGTTGTTAGGTTCAATCAGTAGACTTTCCAAAATCTGGGGAGTAATCGTAGGTGGTTTATGGACAACCGGGGGTGGTATCCGTGTTTGGTTTGCTGTGGGAGGCGGGGGTGGCGGTGGGATTGACAGCTGAGATATTTCGAATGGAACCCAAACAACCTGTAGACGCTTGGTATAACTTGCACCGTGATCACCATCATCGTCTTCGTTGTCCGACTGCTTCTTCTCCATCAACGGATAGCCTTTCAGAAAATCACTGATCCGAGTCTTGGTCACACCCTGCTTTTCGGTTTTCCGCCTGATAGTAATTGAGCCCTGCGCAACGGGAGGAGGTTTCTTGGGACGTTGCTGACCAACACGCAACACGATTTTTGGTGGTGGTCTTGCGTAACTGTAGCAATGAAAAGAGATCAATACATGTCCAAAAGAGCTGATTGTCAGTCGCGATGATCAACGTACGACCAGTAATGTATTGTCAAACTACTTCTGTCAGGGGGCATGAACAGTCTGGTATGCGGACACCAGGCTGTCCTCTCTAGTTGAGATGCCTGGTAATGTAGAGATTCAAGTTGATAATTTAAGCTTAGTTCGCCTGTAGAAAGGATATAATGAGTAAGCCAAGATTGTGATACATTCGGAATGAGTGATAGTCCACGATGAGAGAGTATTGTTAAAAAGACGAACGCAAGAAAGCAAAGAGCCTCATCAGTGGTCTTGCAGGCGGTTTGGGGTCAGGATCTGCCTGTGTTGGAAGACAACGGTGAGCCATGCCGTGATTGGCCGCTTCAATGATGTGTTGCTTGGCGTCTCCATATATTGTGGTCGGGAATTCTGTGCGTCAAGAAGAGTTGGGAAGGGATTAGGGACAAAGATAACTACACGCAAGTGGTAAACCAAAAATGCCTTTACCTCTACCGTGAGGGTTGAGAACCTTGAAGAGAAACTTGACGTGTAAAAGGTACCATATAGCGTCGGCTTGTCCTCCACTGAGAGTTGCACTACATTCAAACATATTTTTGACTCTAAATGTGACCCTGCCATTCGCTGATTGCGCGTATGGAGATGAAGAGTCGATCAATAAAATCTCCCACTCTTAACAGGACTGAGTCACTTACCAATGGTATAGGACCGAAATTCTTTTGGTAGCACTTCACGCGTGGCACCTAACCGAAACCGAATAGCATTGTCCAGATTGTGCATCAGTCGAGCTACTTCTGAGTTCTTTAAACGCGGTTTAGTCGAGAATCGCTCCAGCAAGCTTTCGGGGAGATTTGGATATCCTTGAGTCAGGACTTGCAATGATGTTGAGATATCAAAATTCTTCATTCTAGTAGATTGACATCAGCCCGATAGCCAAATATAAGTGTGAGTGATGTGATCTTCGGCTGGAGTTGAATTAGATTAGCGGTAAAGTGCGAACCTGGCAGAATAGAAACTATTTTTGGAAGCTTTGAGGATCTCAACTGTCCGTTGAAACTGTTGATTTTGCCTTTGTAGAAAGCCGACGATACTCTAAAAGCGGAACAAGACAGATCCATGTTCGACAAAAAAAATCATCGCAATTGTCAATAGGAAAGTTCACGTGAAATAAATATGCAGCTGTTGCTGAATCGAGAGTGGTATCCTGAGCGCGTGAGGCACTGTTGATGAGATAACACGCACCATGATTTTGTGAGTTGGTCCCGCGTTCGCCGACCATTTGACGAGAACTAACAGCTTGATAATCTGCCGACGACTATGAATAACGAAATCGATCACCCTTTTCTTGCGCTCAAAGTCATCTAATGAAGGCGATCTGTTGAATGAATGGTGTGAATGGTTGAAGAGATACGCGACAATCAAGGTCAATGATCAGCCTTGTCACATGTAGGTCTTATAGAAAAAAGGCAGGTGACTCCGAATTAATTTGAATGAAGATTGAAAGATGTGAACTGACGTCTCAGCCACTAGTTGTAGTTCTCGAAAGACTTGAGCAATTGTACGTTGAATGACTATTTGAAGTGGAATGAGATGAGGACCCCAATGCCGCCCTAGCTCTTTTTCATCCAATTCTGCGATTTTTCGAAGTTTTTCATCATCGGTTATGTTTTCAAGACAAGGCGGTGGTAACGGAGGTGGGACTGGAAGAGGATGTGATGGAAGTTTTTGAGGCAAACTTTCACAATCAGCTTTCCCTTTTCCCTTGATAGACTTTGAGGGTCGATTGGATGTATTTGAAGGTGGCGGGCAGGTTCCGTTGGATTGTAAGATGGTACCATTCTGAGACTGCGATTTTGAGTGTTGATGAGGATGAGGATGAAGTCCATTTTGGATTGATGGAGAAGTAGATTGAATTGAATGATGAAGGTGATGAGGTTTGTTTGAATGATTAGGATTATTATTGGAATGATGAATGGCGAGATGAGAAGTTCCGTTTGAATTTGATTGACTAGATCGATGGTGACTGACGCTGGTGGTAGCAGCCATGATGATGCTTAGATAATCAAGATCCTAGATTCAGGAAGGAATAGCCGATTAAGGCGAGTCCCGGATGAGAATGATGACCAGCTGAATTGATGATGATAAGTTTAAATAGTCTCCTGATTTGTTTGTGTGATTGATTTGATCTGATTTGATTTGATTTGATTTGATTTGATTGATTGATTGAAGTTCGATTTGAATAGTTTTCTTGTTGATGATACTATGTAGCAGTAGTTGGTTAGTTTGTTGAGAATGAGTTGGATGAGTTTTATTTTTTCTTGTTGACTGTCTGGGGAATCAAAACGCTGTGAAGGCAGAGAAGTTCAGTTCACACTAAAGAGAGAATTAAAGTTGAATGTTGTTAAGTCAAATACAGCTCAATACTTAATCTACTTATGTAGACTTAAGCTATGCAAAAAGTACAACAACGATGTTCAACTTTCAGGAACAGGTCCATTCGAGTCACTTCCAAGCTATTATCCTAAAAAGGCTGCTTCTTCATTTTCAAAGTCAATCAACAATTTCCAAATTCAATCTACTTCTCAATATACTCTACATACTCTTCGGTCCAACCGATGAACAAGTCTCATCACTGGTCAACGTCTCGAATGTATTTTCAAGTATCTCAAGCTGATAGGTCACAAATCGATTATAACATCTATCTAGAAACACCTCAATTTGACAAAATCATATTCGTTCTTGCCAAGTTTCTCCATATGCCCTTACCCAGGAACTTTGATATATCAAGTTGAACCCTTTCTGGAAATAAGTCAGCTGGCAAGTGATCGAGTAAGTTGTCGATCCACCCAAATTAAAATTCAACACCAACCAAATTGAAAGTTCACATTAAGCCACATACGTAACACAAAATTACCTTCAGCGTGAGCTTACAAATAACACTTAAGAGAAATCATTTTATAACCCCAAACTGATCTGTTTTCATACTGGGACTGCTGCATGCCTTCATGAAAGATATCAGTGTGACAGATGACCTTTGGAGTGACCTAAGCAGCCCTTTGTTTGATTTCCCTATTCCTAAATAGTTCCATTTTGTAAAATGTTATACATCTTTTTAAAAGATATATGAGGGCATTGATGTGAGTGTAAGTATTTGGTTTAAGATGATCAAAGAACAGGAATAGTTGAATGACTATTTAATATGACTACATAACACTTTCTTCCAAGTTGAATTGAAAAATCATAATAGCTGATAAAGAAAGAGAGAGTTTGCTTCGTTTTGTTTTGTCTTTTGTTGGTAAAAATGATAGAAGATGAGTCTTCTAGAGAACAAGAGGAGTAAGTTCAAGATTTTTACAATAGGTGCTCAAATCTTGGCTGTGGATTCAAAGCTGATAAATGTTAGCATAAGAGAAGAAGGAAATCAAATTTAAATACTCATAGCCTTGAGTGGTCTATGTGAATGAATGTGAATATAATTGAGATAGATTGGTACTTGATCATACGAGACTGTGTGTCCTTTGAAGATTATTTCATCATTCCTGGATTTGATAGTTTGAGAGTTGATTCCTCCAGAACAAGCTCTATTGAAGTGCAAGAAGATTGTCTTGATGTACAGGGTACCCGAAGTCAGAAGGGGAGTCAATTCCGCCAGAACAAGCTCTATTGAAGTGCAAAAAGATTGGCTTGATGTGCAGGGTACTCAGAGTAAGAAGAGTAACCAAGCTGCTGCATAAATGTATATCCAAATATCAAGCGTATGCATGTATATCTTATCTAGAAATCTTAAACCATTCAATTCTCATGTCATGTTGAACAAAAGGAAACATGGGTTTTAAAAATGTATGTTGATTGAAGGGTATCTCCAATAATGCCAACGGCGCTCCGCTATATTCCCTACATCCACGAGCGTAGCATTTGGGCGCTATGAGAAAAGGCCAATCGCTACGCTATTTTTTTCAAGACGCTATGGGTTTTCAAAGGTTTTCAAAGCGATGTGTGTTCCACTCCGCTCCGCTATGGGCGAATCTCACCAAGGATAGTGGCTCAAAGCGCGGTTACATAAGAAGTTTTTTTTGTGAATTTTTGCTTAAAGCCGTGTTTTGATTACTCAGGCCTTCTATGATTGGCTGTAGAGTGAGGATTAATCAAATATGAAAGAAAAGGAAAAACACAAGATAGAAAAAACCACACGCAACCTTTTTTGGAGTTATTTTAATTATTAAACAGTAGAAAACAAATTTATTTGTGGTTTTTTTTTGATCCGTTGGGGAGAACACACAGTACAAGTTTTTTTGTATTCTTTTTTGAGTTATTGAAAGGTAAGGGAAAAGAAAAAAGGAAAAGAATTGAAATCACTTTCTAGCCTTGGTTCTAAAAGCATTTTAAGCTTGCAGGTAAGCCACAGCTTTAGAAAATTTACCTGAAAGGGTAATATTTGCCTTTAACCACTCTTGTATAGCAACCAGCATTGAAATTGCCTTTGCCGTTAAAGAAGCACTACTAGGGACCACAATATTGGATGTGGACAAGAATGTACTCTTGCAAGGGCAAGAGGTACCTGGTAATCCAAGGTTATTGCAAGCAATGGATGCAAGTACTGGGAGATCTGTCTCATGCTCCTATAATTAGTACCACAATTAGAGATAAGATTTGTAAAGAGACATGAAAGAGTAACCGTTGAACATACCCTCCACCAATCCAACTCATGTTGAACTGCAAGCAACAGATGGGGACATTTGATATAATCAAAATGTGCCTCCCAGTGTTTGTCAGCTGGTGGAGTGGTCACTTGTGTGGTAAACATTTCAAATTGGGAACAGATGAGGTGATGTGAAATGGAAGTGGATGTGGGTTAAGAGCATCAATGTGATCTGAGTTCAAGATGATAGGGTCTTTGGGCCATTGAGCCAGAGTGTCATCAAAGACATGTTGAAAAAGCTTCTTGGCTTGAACAGCCTCTTCAGGGTAGTTGAGATCAAAGAACCAGATTCAGAACCAAGGATTGAAGATTGTCAATATAATGATGGAGTCAGTCCCTTCAATCTTCTTCCACATTGACACAACCGGTAGATCTGGGTCCTCACAGGCATCAACAAAATTATTGAGCTCAAGAACTATTCAAGAGTATTTGGCAAGTAGAATACAACCACTTGATGTGTTGCCCTCCATCTGCTTGGTAGCATAGAATAATACCTACAAAGACATGGTGCAAAGTCTACAAAAGGATAAGAAAGTTTCTAAAAAAAGACAAAATCAAAAGAAAACAAGAATATTGGAAGAAAATGAGAATGTCAAGAAAAAAAATGAAGTATCTGGATCTATCTTGACCATTTCCTTGATCAGATCCTATTGATCAGCACTTATCACCGCTTCCTTGTGGCAGTTGCCTAATAAGGAGCGCACACAGACTGCCTTTGAGGCACAAATGCGACTCGTGTGCACTTGTTGACAAGCAAACACCACACAGACATGGTGTATGATATGTGTAATCCCTGATAATACCAAGCTGTTCAGTCTCTGAGAAGAAATGCATCTACCACCTAAAGTCTGAATTCAGAAGATGTAAGCACTAAGATAGATGAGTAAGATTGGAAGAGGTGATATTACTTAGGCCACATGCATTGCCGAGATTTTTGAGGTAGTCAGTGTTGATATTTGAACACACACCCTACCCAGATATATAGAAGTGACCCTTCACTTGTAGTCCATTTGCTTGCCCTTGGCAATGAACTCTCATTGCCATTGTCTTTCAGAGCCCCTTATACACAAAGCATTGAACTTTTTGACCTGAATGAAAATATCAAGGAGTTCTAGTAGAAAAAACAGGTGTTGTAAGTGAAAAAAAGATAAATTACTTCCTTTACAAACCACACAAGCCACATCAGGAATAGGGCCATCCTCACCATCTTCAGAACCCAAATCCAAGACATTGTCAACAGGGAAAGCATTTACTTCTTCATCTGGATTCATATTGTATTACACGTCTTCAGAAGATTCAAAGTTAGGATTTTCATCACTCTTGTTCAATGTCATGGTGGAGATTGATAAGGTGACTCCAGGTAAAGTAAGGAGTGTGTTTTCCTTCTTGAAGCAGGTGGTAATCTTGAAGTAGCAATGTGAAATCATTTCTTACAATGAAGCAAACATCTCCCAAGGTTCTCAGTCAATACAAATCATCCTTCCAATACATGAGCCCTGGACAAATACCAAGTAGTGAAAGTAGACTCAAGGAAATCCTGATGGTGCACTGTACCAGTGCAGGGTGCCTTAGAAGTTGGGGGGCCTCAATAGTACAAAGACAAGCTTTTATACTTATTGAAGCCCCTAACACAAAAACGCACAGGATACTGCTAGCCCAGAATCTAGATATTGCACTATGGCTGGAAACAAACAAATACTCTTCCTCCATGGAAATTTCAGATGCGAGCCTGTTGTCGAGTGCCCAGCAAGGTTTTCAACTTTGAATCAGTGCAGCCGACTCTTCAGAGCATTCAAAACAACAAACCTTGACATGAAGACACGCGGTTAACAAAACCGTGGACGGAGTGCTAATGTCTATTGTATATTACCCTGTGCCTCGCTTTTCCACACATATATATCCCTTGTATTTCACCATCTTTTTCTTGCTTGATCATATACCAAAGTGATTCCAGCTTTTTCTTTGTGGTGGTAAGAGCACCCACTATGGTGGGCGTGTTTTATCGTAAATTTTGCGGTCCCGACCGCGAAATTTAATCATGCGTGTAACAACTAAATTAGTAAACGCATAAAAACCACTATGAGCTGCTTTACGACCTGATTTACCAACGATAAATCACTGTGAGTCAACCAGATCCACAGTGGTATGATCTTGAAATGAATCATCACATTCCTCATAATCTTTTCCCAAAGATCAATTATCTCAGAAGTCTTCAAATAGCAATAGGAACAACAATAATAACATCAACTAGTCTTGACTTCTTGTTTGATAAACCTCACATACCACCTCCGCTTCCTCGCACTCAAATCTGAATTGATCGAGACTTATCAAGACTGCACTCAACGTGCTCGGAAACTATATAAGTTTTCAAGTTTGAACTTTGAAGTTGAGGTGTTGAGGTCTGAACGTTGAGATTTGAAGTCTTGAATTGTGGAGTTTGGGATTTGATGTTTTGGAAAAGGCAGTTGTTGACCGATTATCGTACGATAAATCAAGTCGTAGGCTTGCGTAGATCTGAGCACGCGGGGTGCAAGATTTAACGCAGCAGTACGGACTGCATGTCTAAAACAGGTCCGTAGTGGACCTGTCTGGATTTTAGCGTTACGGTAACGCTAAATCACCTCGTTAACGCACCCATAGTGGGTGCTCTAAGGTTTTATCCTACCTTTCAATATATCCTCATGTGATTGTAAGTTGTAATCACAAAATCAAACAATGTCTCGCATGCAGTCTAGTAATCTTGGTGTAGTTTTCAATTGGATACAGCCAAGAAAAACACACTGCATATCAAAGACAAGGGCCGTGTAAGAGACGTTCCACATTGATCAAAATTCATGATGGAATGGCATCCACTTGGACCCAAGCATGAATCAAATGAATGCCGAGTGGTCTGATCAATCTTGTGTTGATTGTTGGTTTGAGTTTGATTGCCGTTGTTCACAGCATTCGACCATTTGGTTGCGTGATACTTTCTGCTGGGATTATGATGATAGCCGGTTGAGTGTATCAGAGATTATATAATCGTACTCTCCCTGAAGCCTATCTCCGCCAATTTTTCATTACCGTCATATCACGAGAGTAAGACGTGAGTTGAGCTAAATGAAAACTTCTGACAGCGCTCATTGCTTATGTAGTTGAGAATTGTAGTGCTCAAGCTGACATTTTGATCAAAAGATCTTGGAAGGTGAATTAAATCAGGACTGCTCTCACTCGGACGCAACAGCCATGACCACTGATTCAAATTGCTTACATAGGTCCAAGTTATTAGAAATCTCTCGGCGATTGAGATAAAGGTTGATTTGTATAGTGAGTCTTTGTTGCCAGTATGAGATGACAACGCTCAGCTTAATGCACATGGAATCAAGGCCTGGACTTATAACTCACCTTCAACCTACTGTACCCGTTCGTGATCGGAATATCACTTGTTTCTTCTCATCTTCTTTCATCTTAAGCTCCTTCGATTAAGACATATTCACAATGTCAACTTCTGGAGCTGATGACGTATTACACTTGTTGGCTAAGATGCCAGCCGATGCAAACCCATTTCTCGTCATAGCTGACTTCCTCAAAGCAAGCATTCAAGTAAGTAGAGCGTAACGTTTATCAAGAGCTCGAGACAGATGTTTGGTCTCTAGGAGCTGATACTTATTTTCGAGGACTTCCAACCCTTCTACCTAATTTGTCAGCCTGTCCCAATACCACGATGGGCACAATGGGTACAGCGATGCATCCTCATAGGTTTTTTTCTGTAATTTTTTTCATTTAGACTCTCGCCGAACATACCAAAAAGCTCACTCGTCTCGGCTTTCATGTCCTCTTTTTGTTTTGGCCTTTTGAAGGATGTGCTGTCAGTCTTGTCGCCTTATCTATATTCGCATCAAAACTAAGTCGTTTCGCACCTTTTCTATCAATCAATGTGAGTCTTAAGAGTCGAAGTCCTATCGCACTGTTTTATCGATGCCATGAACCGCAGTCGATTGACTTACATATCTACTCCATCAGTGGGGTTGGTTCGCATCGATTTGTTAAGTATCTGCGCCGTTGGTTACTTCGTCTATAGCCTGCGTCAGTAGCCTGGAGTCTTTGTCCAGATCTCACATAACCTTTGGGCTCACCTTTTAACCTTTTAATGAGTTTTTTGAAGATAGTTACCATGGCGGACTTGATCTTTGATGAGATCATCCTGGCCGGCTATCACGATCAGTCCGGGGAGATCATCTTGTTTGGAGCCAAATTCTTAGTGATCCTCGATTGTTCCTAGTAAGCTCTCCAATATAGATATGGATCGTAGTGAATGTCGAGGCTGAAGCCCAAATGTTGTGCTTGCAGCGGTCAGCAGTGTACTTCTCTAAGAGTTTTCGACATGAATTCTCTGATCGCCAACGCTAACCATGGAGGGCGTTTTAGGTCTATTTTGGGTCTGCGCTTGTCAAGCCGCATCGCTCGTGATAGAGTCATCGCAGAAAAGAAATAAGCTGCCTGTGGCTCTTTGTTGGGGGATGAACATCATGTTGTTTTCCCTGACCGTGGTACCTATTCGTAAGCTCCTTCAAAGTGCTCGGCGTCCTCCGGTGCAAATCCTTGGGATCTTTTCTCACCTGGTATCTTCACTGTTCCCTTTAGCAATCGTTTTGGTGGCATACATCAAAGCCAACGCAGACTATGTGGCGGCTACGCGAATCCTCAGGCCGATTATCGACTCACTCTTCAAAGCTTCTGCCTCCTACTCTTCTCAAAATTACAGTCCAGCCCAAATCATGCAAGCGCTGATTCCGGCGCAACAGGCGCCTGCCCTCTTTGTAAGAACGTTCTTCATGTGTTTCGATCATCGAGTTCTTCCAAAAGCCCACAGTTCATCTTCTCCCTTTGAAGAATTCAATGATTGAACATATCCGCATAGCTGTTTTCACTTATTTCATAATAATCATGGGAATATGTGTGGTGAGTCCAAGCTCTCGTTGTACAAGCCAAACTGGATCCAGGTCTTATGAGAGGCAACTCTCAGTTTTACTTCCCACTCTTCAACTTCTCACTTAGAGGGCTATACAAACGGAGATTAGCGGGAGAGGGGCTCGAGTCGATTCCAGGTCTTTCTGCTGAAGATCATGAAGAAAAACTGATCAGCGCTCGTGAGATAAATCGGAAAAAGCGGAACATGCTGGTATATCATGCACTTCTCAGTGTCGTGGGTATCCTAGTGCATCTCCCGATACTTGGCTGGCAAGTAAGCTGCTGAAGTTCAATCAAACCGTATGATTGCACGTGGTAAATTGATTTTCTCTTGAAACTGCACACCGTGTCTTCCAGGTCGGCTATATAAAAGATGCCTCACTGCGCTACAAGGACTGGCTCCTTGTCACAAAATTAGTAGGTGATATCGGGATTTCCTTGAACAAAAGAGCTTGCACTCACGGATCTCACGTTATTTAGGGTCTTCATGGTCCCTTTGTCATCGCAGGGAATATGTAAGCTGAGCTTCAATCAGTTCTAAAGAAACAGAATAATAACTGACTCGAATCCCTTTGGTGCTTCAGAACGATGCTAGTCCACAATCTTCACTCTGGACTATTGCTTTCGAATCAAAAATCTTGTGCATCATCGCACATGCGAAACACAGATTCGGGTCATCTTGATAGCAGGCAGCGAGAATGCTCATCCGAAACCGTATCAAGAGATCATGCTGTAACTTTTGATTTGAAGCATTCAATGGCCTAACATACAATAAAATTTATCCACCTCTCTTTTTGAAAAATTTACGCTCACTAAAATATCATGATGGACGCTATGGTTGACTTTTTTGGATCGTATTCCTCTGGTAAGGTTATGTACATATTGTATCTAGAGTCAGTAGTCATATGTTTTTACTGTACCATGGCCAGAGATCAACGGACAACTTCTCACCAGTCGCAATTTTTTCTCACTTGAAACCCTGGTTGGATCTATTTTGCAAAGCGAGATTATTGTAACAAGTGAGGCTGAAGTCAGCGGCTGACCAACAGTAGAAGTTGATATGAACCAAAGCTTCTGCTTGACTCGCAGCCCGCGGATAAGTCATCTGACACCCACAAATGAGCTTACAACCCAACCACCATGCTTAAAAAAAGGCAAATGTAGGATGTTTGGTTTCTTGCTCTTGCCCGTCATAAATATATATATATAAAGACCACTTTCCCCTATATTTTCAAGTCAAAACATCATTTGCTGAAGCTCAAATCACCATTTCGATGTTGTAAATTCAAAACTTATGCACAACTAATGATATTCTTTATGATACAAATCCAATTCCTCTTCATCGAAAACTTGATTCAATGCTAAAAAAATTTCTCTGTTCTCTATAAATTTGCTTTCTTTTCCAAAATAAATAAGGAAAATGAAAACATCTAATCATCTGAATTCAATAACAAGGACATCAATAATAATTCATGCAAGATTTTTAAAAAAATCCATCTCATAAACATCAAAATACTAATCATATTCAAATACCTCCATATTGAATTCTTATCATGAGTAGTGCAAAAGACACTGGAAAAAAATATCAAAATTTTGGTACATGAATAGGGATTTGAATTGGATCAAGTGACATATTTAATTCACCTAATGCTATTTCCCTTCATGTGATTGTGAGCTTATCAGTTGAGCATAATCAGATGGTAGCAACAAAGGTTCAGATTGACAGCCCACCCAAAAGAGTATATAAATCACACAATTCTCATGGATTAGATTGATCAAATTCCTTTATACATACTGAGGTGAATTCTGAATATGAGTTAGCCATGTATTCAAGGAAAACATCCTCTAAAGAGAAGTAAAAATCTTACTAACATAATACGCATTTAAGAGATCTTTGTATGATCAAAGATAGTCTTTGCTTATCTTTTTGGGGTGATCATGCAATAAAAACTAAATCAGATAGTCAATAATGACACAACTTTTGGTCAAGTATGATGCAGCAAACTAAACCAGCAATCGAAAGTTAAATGTCCTCTGCTTCCAAACCATCAACCTAACTCTTATCTCACTTGCTCCAACCATCCCTCTCTCTTTACACACCCAAACATAAAAATCAAAAAGTCCAAAAAACAAAATTAAATCCTTACATTCACAGGAATAAAAATATCTCTACCACCATCTACAGACAGAACAATTACATCTTGAATCACTTTAGGATCTAATTCTTGTTGAGCAACTTCTCCTTCTCCTTCTCCTTCTGTTTCTCTTATTGCACGTTCTGACAAAATCTCGGAATCTAAGCCAAGTCCTCCTATTCTACTTTGTTCACGTCTGATCTCTTCTGATCTTTCTTCTATAGCTCTCATATCTAATACGAAATGAACTGCATGTTGTTCATCTATTTACATCCAAAGAATCCGTAAATCAGCAAAAGTGAGTCAAATTCAATTGAATATAACTTGCTGATCCTCTTACCTGGTCTCAAGATACCCGTCACCTGACTAATCTTTAACCATTCTTTACAAACTTCATTATCTCCCAGCTTAGGTACTAATCTCCAAGAAACTTCAAACTTCCTACGATTAGAAATCATAATAGTCACTCCAGTTTGTGCAACAACTCTACCTAATTCAATCGGTCCTTCAGGTTCAATTCCTATATCTGGCATCCTTTCATTTTCCATTCCATCTAATTCTCTTTCCATCTCTCCTTCTACTTGTGATAAGATATTCGTATCAATTTCATAGATTCCTACCATCATTGTAGCTCCTACTGGTTTATGATCACTCATCTTCGGACCTTCATCACTGTTGTAACTCAACACTTCTACATCATTTGTCCGACCTGGGAGATATAGAATCCGATCTGTAAAAGAAGGAATTCGTTGTTTCTCACTTTTTTGTTTATAATCAAGATATCGCGATTGGGCTAGTCAGTATCATGCTGTATGTTCGGTGATGTTTCTGCCTCTACGAAAATCACAATCTACATTCGCTTACCTAGTATCGTATGTAGACGTCCCAACATCGAACTTATAAGTAGGTCTAAATGTAATCTTAGCCTCTTCGAATCCTTCAAACACTTTTCCAGCTTCCATCTGACCTCTGAGTTGATCAGAAGCCAACAATCTATCAATTTGACCTGAATCTATCAAGGCTTTTGCAGCGCTGTAGGTGAGATCAATCCGGTAATTCAAATCTCTTTGAAAAGCCAGCACAGATACCTCATCAGCTCCTTCTTGCACAAACTCGTATCATAGAAGATAGTGATAAGCCCCTACCCTGCCCAGAATAGATGGCTTTGAGGTCCAAGAGAAAATCAAGGCAAGATAAACCGTAAGACAAGATGATCAGTTTCGTACTCCTCGTATTTTCAAGATTACGATTCTTATGAGTCCCAAATGTACACACAAAATCGAGTCAGAGAAGCTCACCCCGTCCGGAAAATGTCTGATAGAGGAGAGGGAGAGGTATTATCAGAGCCAGGAACGAAATGTAGTCGAGGTATGCTCATTTTCTTTGACCATTTGTGGGATCCTTCAGTCTTTGTATATGTCGAAAACGTGAGCCGCCGGCAAATCTCGCTGTAGTCTCGGTTCCGAGCTTCAATTTCAGCCTGGAAAGCGGCCAGGTGACAATTAACAAATGTAAGGTAGGTATCGCAGTATCTTTTTCATTTCAAGGTGTCAAGCGCAAATTTCGAAACAATAAGTCCAAATCGGTATCAATTAACAGCGAGGCGTAGATGAAGGGATCAGTAAAATTGATCTGCAACAGAATGTCCAAGGGGAAAGAGTAGGGAAATCTTATTAACCTGAGTTTAACAGCCGTAGCACCCTTGTTCCCCATACCGAGTGTTCCAGTGCCAAGATATGTGGTTTTGACATCTGTTACATGACTTGCGATATCTGCAGTGCCGAAGACTAGAATGAGCAGGCCAACTAATTGTTGACTCGCGAGCTTGACCACCGGCCCAACGCTAACGAGAGAACGTTCAATCACTTCTGTCCATCGTTGCTCCCGCTCGGGCCGATGTCGGATGTAAGCTTCAGAACTGTCGTCAATTTCCTGCAGGCTACCGACTGAGCTATCAGCTTGTGTCTCGTCTGAAAGTATGCATGGGGAAAACTGACCACACCACATAAAGCTGAGCGGGTGCATCGTCAGCCACAAGCCATTTTCCTAAGCTCTCTGCTGGCATTTTCCCATAAACATTCCACGTTCCAATGCGTACTCTGAAGGGATATGTGATGAAGCAAGGTTATAAATTATCAGTAAACCCAGATGATCATACGAGCTTACAAGGGCAGAAAGAGGAGCAGACCTGATTGTTCGCCGAGAAGCATATTCTCCCTCCCGCTCACGAAGCCGTTCCCGAATCCAATTTCGTCGCCACTCCGGCCAATCATCGTCTTTGGTCTCGACAGGGGATTTTTGAGCTATAGGCAGCGATGTTATTAGTTAGCCGCGAAGTCACAAAATCCGATGATCGAGGTATTCTATTTACTGTACCTGGCTCTGTGAGAAGGCGGGCCAATGCGTTGACAGCTTTGGTGTTTGATTTTGACGTGCCGCGTGACCCCAAATAACGTTCGACCCAGTCCTCCAAATTTTCAGCATCAACAAGACCAGCAGTTTCTGTTTTACGAGTGAGATAATTGAGTTTTATGTGGATAACCTAATTAGATTGGTGCATCAAAAGTTGGACACAAAAACATTGGTGACTGACCGGCAACGATGGCCAGCCTACGAAGTTCAACAATCGCATCACGTAGCGCCTGTCGACCATCCGCACTAGCTACCTCGACCTCTATCAACTGATCACCACGGACACTGAGTCGACAGTGTAACACTGGTCGGTTGAGAGTAAATGACTGTCAGGTCGGTTTGACAAGATTTGAGCGGGAAGTAAATGTCACGGCCAGTGAGAGTCGAAGCTAACCGTTTCCAGTGTTGGGCTCGGTACTCTCTCGTGACGCAGGAGTTGGGGGAGGGCGTTCGGTAAGAGTGACTTGGAAACTGGTCAGAACTGGTACAGCGGCTAGAAGAGAGGCGGGCGGAGAGGGCGAAAGCAGCAAGATACTGGACAATGATGACAAGTATGCAAGTTGTGTTAAGAGGATTGGTCATTTTCATCTCTATTGAGAGAGCAATCAAGTGGTAAACAGACCAAGCCTGCTCGTGATCGGAATCAACATTGGAGACGATTGCTAGAATGGCAGGAGCTGGACCAGGAGCCGTGACGAGAGTAGCCAATTTGAGGTGTTCTAAACAAAGTATCAAGATAAATCAGCAAAGGTTGAAGAAGAGGTCTGATGACTGATTTATAACGCTTACCATGAGGAGAGATCGCTTGAAGGACAGTAGAACTAGAGTGAGGTAAATCGCAAGGTGGTGAAATTAATTTGTAAGATTGGTGAATGGAATGGAAGAGATATGTACTTGAGAAGACTTACTATACATCTGAAGTAGATTGGAATGGTTGAGATGAGCTTGATGATGAAGGTTGAACGGTTTTAAGTAACCAATCCATCTTCTTGAGAATGCAAAGAGGTCTTCAATCAAATCGCAATCAGACTTGACTTCAACATTTCAACTGTATGCGCACATTTATCAGGTTTACTTACATGTCACACAAGCTACAGTAATAAAACAACAAGACATACATATTACACGGGTAGACTGCAGGATCGTGGTTTGGCTGATAAGTTTGTGATAACCCTGATAATTCTGATAAACCTTCCAAAACGCATGCGTCATGGGTTTGCCCCAATGACCCACACATGTAATCTCTCGACGTAAACTGGTCAAGTCCTTTACCACCTAAGAGCATCCACAGTGGTGGGCTCCAAATCGGGGCTATCGCCAAATTTGGTGACTGAGCCCCAATTTTTTGGTGCAATGGCAGTCCCCATCGCCAAATTTTTTTGTAGCCGGCTTCAAATTTCGAGCTTTGGGCTACATATTTGGCAACAAAAAGCCGGGCTCCAAATTCCCGCACTTGTTCAATCCCATACCTCACACATGTAAGCCCACGCGTACCGATCTCAAAGTGTGTGTAAACACATAGAATCTACACTTTTGAAGTCCGAACGACTGCATCCGGATTGATTTGGGGCCCCACCAAATTTGAATTCGCTCGATTTGGAGCCCCAATTTGGAGCCCACCACTGTGGATGCTCTAAGGGCACGTTTGGTAGCGATTTTTAAAATAAACCCCAATTACCCCCGGGTACATTGCCCCGGGGCGAAGGAGCTTTTGTGCAAAATCGAGCTTTTTCAAAAAAAACTCCGTTTTGAGTACATTCGAAAAAAACTTGTTTGGTTGAACTTTCATTCAAACCCTGTTTACCACTTCTCACATCTTCTCGCACGTCACATCTCACCAACTGTATTCATCTGGATTCACCACCGATGTCCGATACAGATTCATCTGGAGACTTCAGACCGGAATGGCTGTCCTCGTCTGATGAGGACAGCGACGATGAGCTCCTCAATCTACTACTTGAGCACGCTCGGAACCGCGTGGCTCGAAGAGCTCTGCCAAGGAGACCGTATCACGACTCCGCTCTTCGAGGATTTCTCTACGAGCGAGAGTTGTTGAATGGTCATCCGGGAAGGTTTCGACAAGTTTGTCGAATGGACAAAGCCACGTTCAAAGGTGTCATGAAGATCCTTGGACCCCACCTCGAAGACACTATCCACATCTCTGCCAACGAGCAGGTGATGATATTCCTGTACATAGTTGGTAACACCTCTACCAACGCTACGGCTGCTGAGCGATGGCCACACTCCGGCGAAACTATTTCAAGATATTATAACAAAGTACTCGATATTCTTGAAAGCCTGAAAGATGAAATCATCGTTCAACCAGGGCCTGATACGCCGATCCCAGATGAAATCTCCAAAAGTACGAGGTACTCACCTTTCTTTGATGGGTGTGTTGGTGCCCTCGATGGGACTCACATTCCTGTGAGAGCTCCAGTCGCCGACCAAGCTCCCTACCGTGATCGAAAGGGTGATCTGAGCCAGAATGTTCTGGCGGCCTGCAATTTCGATCTCACGTTTTCTTTCGTACTCGCCGGTTTTGAAGGTAGTACTTCTGATCCTGACGTACTATATGCCGCAAGACACGATGGTGCCTTTGTTATACCAGAGGGTGAGTCTTTCATTTTCTTCAACTTATATATATATATCACTTAGGACTGTTTCCCATCCTAGGACGCTTCTATCTTGGTGATGCTGCCTACGCCAACGGTAATGGTATCTTAACACCATACCGTGGATTTCGCTACCACATTCAAGAGTGGGCTCGAGGCCAAACCGCACCACAAAATTACCAAGAATTGTTCAATTATCGCCATTCTCAACTGAGAATGATCATCGAACGAGACTTCGGAGTCTGGAAGATACGATTTGTGATTCTAGTCCTAATGCGAAGATTTCCATTACATTGACAAGGAAGTCTTGTAGTGGCACTCGCTGTTCTTCACAACCTCATCATGCGAGGTGGTGAAGATCAATTCTTTGGAGAATTTGATGAAGAACAACGTGAGCGAGATCGGGCATGGATCCGTCAAGCTCAAGACAATTTTGTTCCTGCGGTAAGGAATGATTGAGGTGCTGCAAATGCGTTTAGAGATGAGATTGTGATGAGGATGTGGGCTCATTATCAAGCTCACAGAAATCATCACTGATTGAAATAGCTTTACATGTAGTAAGTCAAATTTTCGATTCTCTCCAATACAACATACTGACTATATCAACCTTTTATGTTGATTTTATTTCTCACCAGACAAACAAAAAAATATCAGAAAAACATATATAACTCAATTTGTATTATTATTTCATTCAGCAAAACTGTATTTAGTATCATCGATAAGACATTCATATGGTCAACAATTTCATCAGCAAAAATGTATCTAGTATCATTGATAAAACATTCATAATAGTTGATAATTTCATCCAAAAGAAAATTTGATATAGTGTTTATTTGATTCTTGTACAAAATATAAAAAAAACTGCTCTCTTTTGAGTCTGAATTAAAATTTGCATTGTAGTAATTATTTTTGAGTAATGATACATATTTTTTTAAGATGATCCTTGATTTTTTTCCCTAGCCTCCTTGATAACATTCACCTGTGCTTTGAGCCAAACCCAGCGCATCTTTGGATCTAGACCACCAAAGACAGCCGCTTTAGCCTCCTGTGATATGACATCAATCGAAATTAATCGGTCGTCTAAGTTGGGAAATTGATCTTCGCTGGCGGGGTTGAAGAGTTCCAGAGCCTTCTGTAAGTTTGGAAGCTTGTCGGCCTTGATGCGAGCTGCTTCGGTTATGGCTGAATTGAGCTGAGCAGAGCGATCTGCCTTCTCTTGAGCCTTGATAGCCAAGTTATCGGAAGCCGAAGCAATCACAGTTGCCAGTGTGACTGGTTTGACCTCGCGAGCCGGCATTTTCTTCTTGATGTTCGAAACAGGGGTAGATTTTGAAGTCAAAGGCTTGGTACCTTCTTTTCTGATAGTAGAGACGGTGGTAGGGTTCTTTGGAGTTGGAAGATCGAGGTTTTGTGAGTCTGTTCCATCAATAACAATGGTATAGTCAGTTAGACTTGTATATCGATTGAAAAGTAGAAAATATCGAAAAATCGAAAATATAGCAACCTGATACGATTGCTTTACCTTTGCCTTTTTCAGTTGAAACTTCTTCATCTGAATCTGGAAGATCATCGAGGTCTCTTTTGGCTTGGGTCAATCCTTGTGCATCTACTTCATCATATCTGCTTTCTTCTTTGCTTTCTTCTAAATTATCATGATCTATAATTTCAATTTCCTCTTCCTCGTTATTCTCTGCCTCAACTCGTGTACCAGAACTTGTGCCAGTACGTAAAGCCCCAGCCGGTTTAGATCCATGAAGCATTGCATCCATTTCTTCGTAGTAGTCGAATGAATTGTTTCGAAGCTTCATCGCGTCCTTGTCTTTCTAAGAAAATCAAAACACGGTCAGCCGAGACAATCTCAAGAAGAATAGCAGGCAAAACAACTGACCTTGCCTACGTTCTCCCACCATTCATTTGGCATGTCGATCTTGCCACCAACCCATCCAACTCCAGAGGTCATTTTGACTTTTTTCATTCCAGTATAAGAACTCTTGCTCTAGATCGATAGCCGAAGAAAAAATAAAAGAACTTTGATTAAAATGATGAGTCGATTTTGAATTTGATATCAAGACAAACAACTGACTGTGGTGTATAAATTTTTGATTTGTTCTCTATTCACCTTGTCTTCTGGATACGCAAGAGTGTATCTCTCGTGAACATTGGTGTAAGCCACGGGTTTCCAGTTGCCACCAATCATGTTACCATCCTCTTTTTCAGTTAAAAACTCGTTGAGTATAAAACAAATCTTGGAATCGGTCCAGACTGCTCTCGCGACTTTTGGAGCGTTCGGATCTTTCTTGGCTCGAGGCATGATATGAACAAGGAGGGTCGAAAGTCGAGATCGAACAACAAACAAAAAGGAAGAAGGTGGATGTTGGAAGTGGGAGAAGAGTGATGAAAACCGTTGAGAGGTGGTTGACGTCGAGGAGCCAGAGTATGATTTTGTTGACGTCAAGGTGGGTTGAAGAGTGTTGAAATGAAATTTGACCAAGTTCGAAAAGGAGTTTTACGAGTGGAAAAACTCCCTTTTTGCGGTTTTCAAAACGTACCTTTTAAACTCCTTTGAGGACAGGGAAGGAGTTTCTTTTGGGTACCGTAATCGCTGCCAAACGACTTTTTTTGAACAGCGTTTTTTCCAAATTTCAAGGGAGTTTATTCCAATAAACTCCCTACAAAAAGCGCTACCAAACGTGCCCTAAGCATACACCGATTGTCCATAAGGTGATTCCCTTCAGTACACCTCGTGGTCAACTTGTGGGCACAACTACCCCTTCAGGTGTCACCCGTCACGCCTCGCGACGCGACCCCAGAGCCACCTGACCCAACCGCACATACCCTCTACTGTAACTCACCTTACCATACCATCACATCACTCAACCCTCAACCCTCGTTCAACACTTCTTTACATCCCCTCATATTATGCTGCTAACCGAGTTTATAAGCCATCTCACCAGGACCACGCCTCAACTGAGTACCACCCTCACGGTAGCCGACTTTGTCCGCTTCATGACGCTTGCGTCGGAACTCCAGCACTCAGCTGGACAATCCCTCCGACTGAGACCTCACCGCCTACCTGTTGCCAACTTCTTACTCGCTGCGCTACAACCTAGTTTTCCTCACCACTTCATTCACAACCTCTGGAGCTTGGCCTTCTACATTTTACCCTCATTGCGTATCAATCCCACCGCCTGCATCCGGGAACTTGGCCTCCAATCCAAAGTCGTCAAACGTTACCTGTGTCCCCCGGTTTCCAACTGTGTTGTCTGCCCACAAAAAAGCAAGCTACACACCCACTCTCGCCTGAATGCCTATGTGTTCGACTCCGACGGCGTACACTCAGCTGAGACCACCATTTTAAGATGCCCAGGTAAGTTCTTGATGATCGCCTATGTTATTTCTTTCGTATGCTCCTAAATCTGTGAGGGGCAGAAAGTGGCAAAAACCTAAAAGCGCTGGTGTTAATATATAGCTTTGTTGGACTTAGTTAACAACAAGCTTGAAACACACCTAAAAGCGCTGGTGTTAATATATAGCTTTGTTGGACTTAGTTAACAACAAGCTTGAAACACACCTGAATAGTGTGGAAGTCGATGGAAGAAAAAGAATAAAATGGACAAAAGAAGATATAGCGAGATGAGTGAGTCATATTTCATTCAAAATAGAAAAAGAAAATAGAAACTAGAGAAATAACATGATGCAGACCTAAAAGCGCTGGTGTTAATATATAGCTTTGTTGGACTTAGTTAACAACAAGCTTGAAACACACCTGAATAGTGTGGAAGTCGATGGAAGAAAAAGAATAAAATGGACGAAAGAAGATATAGCGAGATGAGTGAGTGAGAAAACAAAAATACAATGCTTAGAAGACTACTATTTATACATAAGTCTTATACAGTCATACAAATTCTCAAACACGCATTCAACGCTACAATCCCTAATACCATAGTCCATTTTAATATCCATCACCATTGACAAGCCACTCTGGGTGCGTCATTTCATATCATCATTTAGTCGCAGTTAAGTCCATGTTAGGTCAGTTAATATTGAAATAAAGTAAGGGTTTGGTCGTAACGAGAAAATATCAGTTTGGACTAAAGCAGTCGAAAGTAACAAGGCAAAACTGATTAATTACGAAAATTTCACAGTGCTCTATCATTTTGCTGACATCTATCCTCCCGCTGACATCTGTCCTCCCACTGACATCTATGATCTCGCTGTGTTCTATCATCTCGGTCTGACTTATTGAATCCCCAGAACCCAAATGTGGCATCCAATATTGCCCCAGCTACTACACCCGGGACGGTCTTCGTTGCTACTACCGGTTGGAAGAGGGGCGTGATCCGGATCTACTTCATGTGCACTGTCATTACTATATGACCCGGAAATTGCACAGTATGTTACGTGGCATCCAGTTTCTAGCCCAGTAAGTTCTCTCCTGCTTCACGTGCCTCATCTAGTGGTTTCAACTGATATGTCATCAACGTAGCGTATCCCATTTCAATCTAGTAAACTGGTACAACAGGACGTTCGTGGATGACTCAGCAATACCTCAATTTGTCGACAATCAAGCTTTCACCGCCGCCATGTCTGAGGCTGTTTGTGGCGATGGGCTGGACTTGCAATCCCTCCTAGACCACGCAGACCGACGGGGTAAGCAGCTCACGGTCAGCGCGAGTGGCACCGATCATCTACGTTTCGAAGATGCTATGCGCGAGCATCTCGACCTTCTGGCGGTTGAGGGGACCCGAGACCGAGACCATTATTGCTCTCGTTGTGTACGCATTCAATCTGGTGGAACCGATCCAGCAACTGGCGAAGAGATATTGTTAGGTGAGAATGATCTCATTCATTTCGATTTCGGATATCTCCTCATGAAGACTATTTCAGGCATCCGCGCGGTCGTGACGGATGGTCTCACAATAGGACATTACCGCTGCAGTGCAACAACCGACCAGCTCGCAGAGCTGGCTCATACAGCAGGACTTCCGCCACCCGAAGGCCCTTGTACCAAACGTCTTGAAAATATCAATGACCGTTTTTGTGCAGTACATTCCAAGCTCCTCGGCAATCGATGTCAAGTTCAATCATGCTGGTCATTATGTGAACCTGGAGCCAAGACGTGTAACAAGGAACCTCACATCAAAGCAATGCAAGAGTTTGAAGCCCGAGTTCAAGGTAACTTTTCCTTAACGGCCATCCTGAATCGCCCGGGTTCGAACCTTCCTTCGGATGCAACAGTGCATCTCAATGCAGAAACAGGCGAGTTCGACAACTTGGCAAGCCTCCAAGAAGCCGACGAGTCCAATCGGGCACACGAGGGTGCGCGGGACGGTGGCGAGTCCCAAGAAAAAAAGAAAGTTTCTCTGTCCCGAATGCGGACACATAACGACCAACTCATAGTGGGGCCGTGTGGGATAATCTTGGCACGAAGAACATTCTATCACTCTGAGTCTGTCAGCGCGGTAAAAGTAAGTATTTCTATGTTATTCTTGAATTTCATTTTAAAGTTGCCTGGATAGATACTGATGCTTTATGTGTTGCCACTATGTATAGGCGTTTTTGGAAGACACGTTTCCTCAAGGAATCCCCGAGGTCGTGTTTTATGATAATGCGTGTCGCTTGACCGAGCATATTTATCATGGCGCTGTCGATTGTGACCGATTCAAACGGACAGTGATTCCTGTGGACCCGTTCCACCATCGCTCCCATGCGGGGAGCAATGAGTTTTGTCAGCGCTTCACCAACCCCCGACTTTTCCCCAATATTCAAGAGGATGGCAAGTGGGTCTTTAACGCATCGGCGGCAGAACTCACCAACATATGGTATGGTGGTTTTGCGTTGATGTGCAGAAGCATGCACTCCATCAAGTATAATTTTTTTTAGAAGAAATGGTTGCTTTGAGGAACTCTTGGCTTTTACGGAAGCTGAAGAAACGACCTGGAATGGGATCTTATAGCACAGGTTAGTGATGTGTCTTTGTATATTACCGGTGCACTTTGTTGATTTGAGTGCGACGTAAATGATTGTTCATTCGTTTTCCTCCCTCTCCACTGCATGCAACAACTATTCATTCAAATCGCAATGATGACACCGTTCCACTCGAAGGAAACATACGAATACATCATGGTTTCATCGCATCATATAAAGTAGTGGGTCTCTGCCCAAACTGTCCTTTACAATTGCACGTAAGGTAGTGTGTTGATCTACGTCCTTGTGCATCATCAGATTGTCTCATTGGTCCTTCTCATAAAGTGAAGTCGTCTCCAGTAAATTCGATTCATCTACTGTACAATGATGTCTTTCCTCTTCCATGCTATCTCGTCGCCGTGTGGTTTCTCTGTGATTTTCAGAATTGTTTTCACATTACAGAATTTAAATAAAAAATATGTGAGGGTCAACAATGGTTATGTTATGTTTTATGCGTGACACGAAGTATTGTGTCACGGTTTGTTGTCATGTGAAATCAAATGTGATTAGTCGTCAATGATTTGGGACCATACCCGAGGATGTCAACCAGTATCATAACTGGTTCAAGCTAACCAAACAGGTGTCTAAACAATCACCTCACATCACTCAATAAATAACATGTTCATGTAATTGTCAACCAACCATCACCCAAAGATAACGAGTTATCTGTCCCCCCCGGGCGGTGGTGTCACTTCGCTGAGAGTCAAATGAGATCAACCATATTGATCTCATTTGAAATACCCAGCAAATCAACCAACAGCCAACAGTTGCAAAAGGAAAAGCCTATCGACATGGCCAAAGGACATGGCAATAGGCTTTCCCTTTTGCCAAACGGATAGATAAACAGATACATAATCAAATGGCCACAGATGATAGATCTCGGCACGACTAACAACACCTCACAACACCGTTTTCCACCGTTTTCAAAGGGTTTTATAATACAAATTGTTTACACGTCTTTCCGACCATATATACATATTCTCTATCTACAATTTGTACATAGGTCACCACTGAGTTATGACTTATGAGCGCTTGACTCAAGTAAAGTTTTTCAAGTCAAGCGGCCCAACTATCTATCTACATGTCATCCTCAATTATTCTTGGGAAGGTCAGAATGAGTGGTATCTCCGTAGCCTGTTACAGGGGTGAGTCAGTTGAGCATGATCTTTCTAAACGCTCAGTAAATGGCTTACCTCTATCTCCCATATGTGGTGGATATCTATAAAAGACACAACACGTCCACGCAAACTGATCAAGTTGCCTACATTCAGTGCATCCATGGTGAATTTCGAGGTGATGTTGGTGTTCAGCAAGTAGTTTGCGTGGAAATCAACGCGCTGCGTTCGCTGGAGATAGATTGCATTGGATAAGTATCGTAGTATTAAAAATACTGGTGGGATTGAATGCTCACCGTAGAATTCCAACATCGATGCAAAACCTTGATGACTTCAATGGGAAGTCCACTCGTTTCCCTCCTAGACCATTCTACTATGCGACCGAGACCTTGCGCCAACACTTTGTTGGCCAAACAGTTGGGGCGGACTTCAGCATGGTTGATTTCAATAGTGTTTTGAAAGTCCTCCATGAGGATCGGCTTGTTATGAGGACCCCAGACCGCGACTGGGCCATCAATTCGGTAAGCGTGACGTGGTTGTAATTCAGTCTGATCCCTCCGGGCAGCAATTTTCACGCTGATACCTTGAGGTCCGTTTCCGTTCTCATTGATGATGACGTCGCTTTGGAAATATGCGTATCTATCGCCAAGTTGTACTTCGGCGTTGGTCCAAAATATACTACTGAATCGTAAAGGAAGCCCAGATGACATATGTAGCTCAATCATTGGGGTGTAGGAAGTTGCGAGGTAGGTACACTGGAATGCAGAGTTTTGGGGATTGGTTGCACTTGGGAAAAATGTCTATGATCGAGAAGATTGAAAGACGTATGGTCAACCGAGGATACTGAGGGAGATAGGACACACCAACCAGCGTATCCTTTTGTAGTGAGTCCTACCTACCTCCCGAACCTTCAGTGTGGCATTGATGTTCCCTTCTCTTTGATTTGCCCATTCATCAACCATTTACATTTACCGTGACTAGTGTTGGTCAAAACTGGTTGGTAAAAATAGGAAAAAATTGTGTAGATTACCTTCCTTGGCCGGGACAATAAAGGTAACATATCCATGCATGAGCCTCACTGGTCCCGGCTTCATCGTGGTGAATGGAGATGCAACCACAATGAAGCCGACATGGCAAGCTTTGACAACGATTCATTGGAATGGTAGTAAGTACCACATGGCAGTACAATATATGTAATTAATACCCTTCAATTTTGTTAATATAACTAAATTGTAGGGTATAGAGTAGAGGCCTTTCATGAGGCAGTCAAACACGTCTTTGACTGACTCATAGTTTTCATTACGTGAGATCAGTCAGTCAAACAAACACAAATGTAAAGCTGGAGAGTAATGGCCTTTCAGCATGGGAAGACTATGAGTCAGTCAAAACAAATGTAAAAACATGAAATTAAGTTTCCTTGCTGTGAGATCAGTCAGTCAAACAAACACAAATGTAAAGCTGGAGAGTAATGGCCTTTCAGCATGGGAAGACTAGACTATGAGTCAGTCAAAACAAATGTTAAAACATGAAATTAAGGTTTCTTTGGCCGTGAGATCAGTCAGTCAAACACAAATGTAAAGTTGGAGGGTAATGGCCTTTCATCATGGCAAGACTATGAGTCAGTCAAATACAAATGTAATGTTTGTTGGGAGATGACACAGATTGTGAGTAATGGTATATCAAATACCAAGCATAGAAAACACACAAAAACACACAGGCAAGGCATTCTGAAAAACATTCAGTAGGATAGAGGTCATTCCCCCCCCCTCATTTTTGGTAAGATAACAGATATATATGATAAGAGAGATCAAACAAAATGTGTACTGTTATCAATGAAATTAAAAGCTCTTTGGAAAAAAGGATAAGGCAATGTGAGAAGGATACAGTAAGTATATGACATACCATTCAATTAATGAAATTATGACTAATGCAATTACAAAGTCTCTTCCTAAAGGCAAAGGCATTTGATAGTTGAAGAAATAGGTCAAAAACATATAACTTTGAAGACCATAAGGCATTGTGAAAAGCACTCATGTCATGAGGAATGTAATTGATACCCTTATTTTTTAGTCTAACTGTTTGTATATATATATTATGATCAATATACAAACAGTTATGTATATTGATCACATCACTTACTTACAAGGTTTCATTCCACGGTCCAATGGAATGTAATTACATTCAAATGCAAAAAGACATTGTGAAAAGGATGCAGATATATGTAATTAATACCCTTCACTTTTGTTAATAACTTGGTTATATAAACTTGGTTATATATATTCAATATGTTCAGACAAATGTGGTGCAGTATCCATTTTGTTAGTTAATACACAAATAGAACCAATCTGAACCAATGTAATGTTCAAACACAAATGTCTTGATGTTTTTTAATGTCCTTGAAAAACAAGCCATTGTTGTGAAAAGTGGATATATGTAATTATAATTACATATATTTTACATGTTGGTTAATATAATATAAAAATTATATTAAGTTAATATAACAAAATATATTTGTTATATTTGTAGATGTGAACCAATGTAATGTGGGAGTGATTTACGTATGAGTCAGTCCAATAGGGAATTTGGTCGTAATGCAAATCATATGTCTGTTGTGGTATGATCAATATCAAATTCCTTTGATATTTGTTTCGTAGAATACATCAAAACAAATATCAATGAAAAACAACGCACAAAAAGAAAGGATCCATGACATCTACATCAATGGATCCAACCATCATTCATAAGAGCACCAGTAAGTAGAACACTATCTCATTTATTTGTGATTTTTCGAGATCATGCTGAACGTTTTTCGAGAGTGGACAAACGCCAGAATTGATCTGGATTGATCTGGGGGGGATATTAAGAATTGTCGGTCGGAAAACAGGATAATCACTTTTGAAAAAACCAAAGGATACCACACAGGTAACACAAAGAAGTAAAAGATGGTATTGGTGTAGAATGAAAATATGACCAGTTAGGTTAGCAATCTTATTACAATCTGGAATTAGACAGCGGCAACCATTTCCCCATTATCGGCCTTCCCCACTCCTGCTACCTTGTTGAACTCTTCCCTGAATCGAACGCGAGCGTGGCCAACAGTGGCTTTGGGCTGCGATTTATATTCTGCGCAAAATCGGTCGTAACCTACTTCGTTGATCCAAAGACGATACCTGTAGATAGTCGGAGGTACCATCTTCCATTCCTGCTCAAAGCGCTTGTTCCACGCCGATAGTATGTCACCCGTTTTTGCCTCGTTATACCACGCAAGCAGAGTCAAAACTGGTATTGATTTTGAAGGCCATCCTCCAGCCTTATTAGAGACCCCAGCGTTTGGGCTAACGTTTGATTGCACCGTGGTCGAAGGAGGTTCCTGCAACTATAAAGCAAACACAGTTACAGACTGGACGTGTCAACCCGAGAGGCTGACAATTTGCTTACGGTGGTACTCGCCGGTGTCACCCCTTGTACCCCGGAAGAAGGATCCTGGCCCACTACCAGATTGGATCCTTTGGAAACTTGGTCGTCCAACGTTTCACGTTTGACGTTCAAGTTTGTACTGCAATTGGAGGCTAACGGTGTGTCATTGGCACCAGGCGACTCGGGTGACCGAGTGAGGTCAATCCACAGCTTAGATGGGCTGGACACCACTGGTGAAGCAGGGGTGATCAGCGTGGGGGAGGTTATAGGTGTGCCCAACGTCGAATTGATATCCAAAGATTTCCCAACGATAGCAGAAGCTCCGGTGGGCGATGAGCTGGTCATTGATTGTTTGGGGGTTGACGGGACTGGCTGCATTGTTTTCGAGGTGGAGGTGGGTGTGACGTTAACATCGACGTGTGCCATGTGCGGTACGTGAGGGCGACTTTGTGGTAGTCCTGGCGTCAGAGGATTGACCTTCGCAAGTCGAACGACAATGGATCGGTTCCCCGGGGGATAATAATGTGGGTAATCCACAGGGATCTCGCGCTGAAGAGACGTGTGATCGCCAGGCAAAAACGTACAAATGTGATCAGTGGGTGGCTTCAGAATATATAGATGGAATTGAGAGTCACCCAAGCATTGATGGCTTCGTCCCACAAGCTGATCGCACGGTTCCATTTGGTGCCAACTTCCCCCACCACCGCCTGAATCAACAACGCGGATTCTTCCAGACGAGCTTTTGGCCAGTCTGTAAAATACGCCGTGATGACCTCCGGTGTGGTTTCCTGTTTAGGGCAGATCAAAATGAGGTGAGCTTGGGAAGACGGGGTTGAAGTGAGATGTTGACGGGTTACGTTTAGCCACACGTAGACAGTTACCATCTTCTCTTCATCATAGTTATCCTGCTTAGGAGGTTGATATTGATCTAGTCTATTTTTATGGAGTGATATCACACCATCTAAGTCCAGTCGGCGCCCTAATGAGTTCTGTGATTGGGCCCATTGATGAATACGGGGCTCATTGACGCGAGCTCGTTTGTTTGATTGGTTGGCCAGTGAGGTGGTAGTCGTTGCACCAGCAGAAGCCATCGAATGGGGTTGGTGGCCATCCGCCCCTGCCCAAGGATGAGCACGACACTGTCCTACGCCGTACTTATTGCAACACTGGAGGGAAAAGTTGAGGGTGTGTCAGTCGAGGAGATGTGCTTCAGGATTGTGAGAAATCAAAGAAATAGACCATGGTGAACCTACGGCCTGACATAATTGGAATCGACACTTCTTGTTGGCGATTTTGCGGTGGCCCTTGGGGACAGGGCCCTGCAGACCTCTCTGACAAGGTACGGGCGGCGCACTGAGGTGGGGTCCGGATGTCGACGCATTTGATTGAGCACCGGTAAACACTTCCGCCGGCGTCGCAAAAGATGAGGTAGTCGGAATCTCCACGGGGTGTGACCAGGTTGATGGGGAGAGCATGCCTCCTTGGATTGCGCGTCCTTGAAAGGGGTGGTCAAGGGGTTGCGGTTGGAAGAATTCGACTAATGGAACGTGAGGTTGACGTTGGGGGGAAGGGCGTTTTTCACGTGGTGGGAGTGGTGGAAGAATATGACCTTCAGGTGACATACGTGGACCCCAGTCTTTTTCAGTCGATAGGATGGGCCGTGGGATGCCCAGATTGATGAGCGTTCGTTTGTGATTGAATTGATCACATCGCCAGATGCGCGTGTTGTGATTTAGGTCATTAGGGCACTGTGATGGGTGAATGAGGGTCATAATGATCAGGTCAATCTATCTTTTAATCAAAGCGAATCTATATATTTGGCGGCTTACTCCTATGAACCATGTGTCAGCCTTTGGAGGAAGGTATCTTAATTGAGCGGAACACTTTGGACAGTAGATCCCTACTGCCTTTTTGTAACCGGGGTCAGGAAGGTATCCTGGGGTCACAAATTGGTAATCAGCTTTTATTAGATGGGAAACAACCATCACGAATGGACACAGAAGTTTAACGGATGTTGACTGTTCTGCGTATTAAATGAGATGTTAAATGTCAATGTCAATGTCTAAACCAAAAAAGAGGAGGTAAACGTTTGGGTAACGAACGAAACTGAATGAGTTTCGAGATTAGAATTAGAATGGAGATAGTGCCGATGATGGTGAGGGAGTGTGCGGGATAACGGCCGTTCGAACCTAGACCGTTGGGCAAACGTTGAAAGATAATGAGTATTATGAGCGTGAGGGCTCAAGTTGAACGAAATAAAAGGAAATTGTTCTGAGTATACTGCCGAGTGGAAATTTGTCAGGGATGGTCGATTTGATGTGTCCATCGTTAAGAGGCGGGTGGGGGTGGTGTTGGTGTAGGCAGGGTTTTTTCGTGTCGCGTGCTGGGTGGTAAAATTTTTTCGTGGTGGTGCTGCTGATGAGATGAAACGATGGATTGACAAAGGGATTCCGTTTTGGATGGATGGTATGACATCTGTGTGACATGCGCACGTGCCTACCTAAGGCTAAGGTTTCTGACGCGATGGCCTGTAACAATATGTATTGTACATATGCTTATGCTAATGTTTTTAACGGGGGGACTGTACGTATCTGTATCATGTATTTATCATAAATTTATCAGTATCACAATATCAGAATTTATCAGGATAAAAACCACGATCCTCAAGTGTTCCCTATTACACTGCAGTAACAGTTGACTGTGATATATCATATAACCCATAACCCAGTCATAAGCCATACTCTTCCCTCTCATGGGTTTTTGTCTCCATATTTTTTGTGTGGGGGGGATGGGTCAAACACCCATAGCTTTTTCTTGAAAACCAGAGACAAAAAAACATGGTTTCCCGCAGAAAAAAATCAAATACTGCACCATAGACTCTGGAGACACATCAGCAAACCTCTTTAAAGCCCTCAGACTCCAACAGTGCCACCTAACCTAACTAAGTCCCTCTTGGCGAGTGAGCCTGGAAGAGAGGGACTTATATCTTATCCACAAAATTTGGCATAGGGGCCAGACAATTTTGGCTGGGGATTTTTTCAACTGCTATATCTCAATATTGTACAAACAAATATCCTGTTGCACTAAAAGAACTTTTCCTCATCTGCTGCTTCTACACATGATGGTGCCTTCAATCCTTGCAATTTTATCAGGAAAGTGTTAAGCAAGAGACTTGAAAAAAAGATTTTTCTGCAACATTCCAGACTGCCCTCTGTAACCCACTGACAGCTTGGAAAAATCTGTGAGATTCTCAAAAGTTTGAAGCATATTACATCTGCAGGAATAGAAGAAAACTAAAAATGAATTAGATGGACATGTGCAGAAGAAGAAGATTACCAAGACTTTTCTTTGTACAAGAGGATATTTGTAAGGTAGTGAGATATAGCGGGTGGAAAAACTCTCCAGCCAAACTATTCTGGCTCCTGTGCCAAACTTTGTGGACAACATATAAGTCCCTCTCTTGGAGTTGCAGACTCACTCACCAAGAGGGACTTAATTAGGTCAGCAGTTCCACACTCATTGTCAAAAACTCACCTCATCAACCAACAAACATTCTTTCTACAGATTTTTCACCTTTCTCCGCCCAATAGCTTGCTAGAGGACAACAATCCAACTGAAATTCAAAACTTTGATCTTGGTACAGACCCATCTATCTGCTGAGAGACCTTGAGCAGGATATTCAAGAGCTTGTACAGCATTGAAAATTGTTCATAAAAAATATGATGTCTGCTTTGGATCTTCTAAATCCTACCAATGAGCATGCCAATGGCCTCAAGACCTGGAGTCTGGAAGAAATCTTTGCAGTGGTCAAAAAACACAACATCAACACTAACAGTTCTGCTCCAGAGCACTCTGAGGCTGAGGTACCTCCTTGTCCATCATACTCTGATTTACTCCAAATTACCTCAGGCACAAAGATGCCAAGGAATCAAAAGCTTGTGGGAGGGCTCTTCAGCAAGCTCTGCATACATGTAGTGCAGCACACTCCAAAACACTAGTCCAGCCCAACCTGTTTTCTTTCCCCTCTCATTCTTCTTGAATCATATGAAATAAAAGTGCTCCTGTCTTGCCTTCTGCAAAAAAACTCCAAGATTATCCATAGTTTTTGGGTTCCATAAACTGGTCTGGATTTTATTACAGAGTCTAGACTGCCTCCTCTTTGGAACCGGACATCAATTGACTCACATGTTTCTTGATCCAACAACTCATTCATCATTCCTCTACATATTTGACCAAGTTTGGAGCAAGGTAGGTTGATTACGGGTGCATCCCAGATTGCACTTGTGAAACTAGTCACAGTGTGAGAGACCAGAAACATCTGAATTGACTACCTTCCAATGAAGATAGCTTTGAGCCATTGCAGCACATTTGTAGTATCTAAAGGGATTCATTGTGGAACATATTTGTTCCCAATAAATTCTCATTGATGACAGCTTGAGACCTTTAAGCTGATAAAAGGCTTCAGAATAAAAAAAACCATCAAAAGATAATGTTTCATTGAATGGTGCCAAGTTTGAAGACAAACAGATTACAGACTTATAAGGAAGAAAAGAAGTGTCTTGTACAACAATGAGAACAGCGAAAAAAGTAGAGTACAATTTACAGAGAGAAGAAGATACAATGTCATAGTTTATATCACTTTCAAATGATGAAGGACAGAATGCAATATAAAATAATTCTAAATCAAAGCCTGTGTGATTACAAAAAACACGAGTAGTCAAAGAATCTTACAATATAAACAAAGACATGGTCATAAAGTAGGAAAACTTTGTACTTTTGATTTTTTTATGTAGAACAATGTGAAAGTAGGTACACACAGTTTGATGCTTGGATGATACAGTTGAAGCCACCCCCAGGAGTATTAAGGTGAAAAGTTTTATGATGAAGCTTGATCAAAATTGCGGGACATTCAAAGAAACCAAATCCATGAGCCAGCGTTTTAAATTTGATTTCTGAAGAAAAGCATAAATTCTAAACCGGAACCTTCTCTGTTTCCATGGCATCAAAGTCGCCGTTGAAAGAAATTTGTAGATGCTTTCTTTTTATTCACAAAGCTTCTAAAGTTGAAAGTGTCGATGAGATTCAGTCTAAGTGTGGTTGAGAAGTACGCTCAGTGAGCAGGTGAGGTAACTGTGCTCAGATCCAGACGCAATTGACAATCCCAGCCTGATCACAGAATTCGCGTATCAAATCTTGGTGATAATCAATTCCATCATCATCAAGAAGCTGGTCGTCAGATTCGTAGATATCCAATCCGTATAGATCAATTTTATCTAGTTTTGGCCAAGTTGACACGCACACAAGATGAGAAATGTATTTCCACTGCCCCTTTGCAACCAAATCACATTTCAATCGTTGAAGATTTTGGCATTCCTGGAAACAGGTAAGGTAGTCGTGTTCATATGGTTGTATGTTTAAATCAGTGAGATGCGGAAGTTGGAATTGAAGCTTTTCCTGCCAGTTAGACCCAAAATCAAAGTCTTCGACAGAATTACAAAAGTCGAGACGAAGTCGTGTTAAATTTGGCGCAATGCGATGGATGAGTTGATGTCCTACAGTAGGGTTGACGTTGGAACATCCCTCAAGATGTAGTTCGGTGATGACCTTCGGCCAAGAGTGATGACAATACGACTCATCAACTGCCGAAACTTGGTGGAATTGAAGTCGCAATAGATTTTTCAGTCGTGATAATGGTTCACCCGTGTGATTTGGATGCTTGTTGTGATCGACGAACCAAGTGGGAAGATCTGACGCAGAGAATGATTCGAGCAAAGACAAGCCTGAAAACATTTGAGAGAGAACTTCATCATTGAATGAGGCAAAGTGAATATTTCGCAGTCCTAGATGTCGAAGTCCGCTGAGTCTCGACATCACCGGAGTTAATCGTGCAAAGAAAAGTTGCAATCCGTGCATGCGGCTGTTCAGATTCTCTAGACGGTTCTCAAGCTCTGCAGAGAAGATAATGTCCAAATCTGAAAGGTTTCCGTGGCATTGGTCTAGCAATCCCATGACACTCTTCGGGGACAGCATCTCCCTAACAAAACAATTGCAAGACTCAAGATGTTTTCGACATACACCTTCCTTGCGCAATGCAGTGTTATCATAATGGATGTTGTGACGAAATGGGTCGTTGTGAGGTGTTTTGAGAAATCGAGTTGATAATGTAAGTGATAGCGACCGGATTCGGAAACCGTGCTTTGGAAGGAGTTCATTGATCCACAGCGTGATTGGAATGGGCAAACGCGTTGGAAAGCGCAAAGTCTGCAGGGAAGTAAGGTTTCAATTTCCATGCAATGACATTCTACGTCTGAGAAACCACTCACTTCCCACAATAACCGACAGCAAAGATCATGAAGACACCTGTTGACCACACTCAAACTCTGAAGACTGTTGAGGATTGGGACTCGATTATCCAACTGCATGATATACCTTTGAGATCTTTTGTCAATTGGCACGAATGCCAGCTGCGACTTGCGTTGTGACCATAGGCCATGAATTCCTTTATTTTCGATGACTGATATGTGGTGAACGTGCTTGACGATCTGTTCGAGGATTTCGAGAGGAAGGCATATTAACCTTGAGATTGTCTGCTTTGACTTATCTGGAAAGGTGCCCTCACGCGCCACGAACATGACACGCTGAGACAAGTAGATGACTTGATTTGGTTGGAACACAGATGAGGATCTATGGAAACGCAAGAACGCAAGATGATGACGGTCAAGAGAATTGTGTGAGTGTTGTGTTGAAGTTGGACAAAAGCGGCTTCGTTCCTAGTTTTTCATATCGCATTTGATGTCTGGGATCTCGTGCCTAATCATCGCTATTTCCAATTTCGAACTGATTCATATCCCGACTCAGTGTTTTCAACGCGCCTCCTCCAGAAAACCTCATGATACAAGGTAATACCCACCTTGAACATCTGTGATCTGGTCAGATAACTCGGAAGCCCATGGAGTCATAGAGCTTCACATTGGGCGGTGTCAGCATACGGTTTAAGATAGGTTGATCGAGTCCGATGACGTTAAGTATGAAGATCATGCTTCATTGTCAGGCCATGGAAGCGTACAATCTCTTTCCTGTTCCGGACGATCAAAAAGTCTCTACGTGCGCTGAACAAAGAGACCTAGGGCTACTCGCTGACTAGAATCCTTGAAAGTCTTTGCTCTTTGCTTTGAGCATATTGTGGATCAGGATATACGAGATATTCGCGATTCTCCCCAAGCGTATATAGTTGCTAGTGCCGCGAAGCGGCGGGTATGGTTCTACCAACTCCACCATCTCTCTACAAAGTACGAATAAGGAAATAGTGGTACAACGAGAGTCGACAAGGATTTGTCGAGATACAAGTAGGTCAATAACACTGGGCAGATGTAATGCTTTTCCCAAGCAAAAAATAGGGGCTCTCAAAGTTGATCCGGTCTCAATAAAACCCGGTTGACCCAGTTGCTTTTTGGCGGTAACTTTGTGAAATGGAATCATGCTAAATACTTGTATGTCTCCTTCAGGCATACGCCCTTCTTGTGTGCTTTCGGTACGCCTCGAAGGTGGGCTTAGTGAAGTTGGTTATAAGCCACGCATTGTGTCTGGCTTAACACAAGCCCCAATGAGCTGTTAAAGCTTGGGCATCACTCCAACACATAAGATTCAGCAAAGGCACAATTAGATTCTTAACTCATCACTCTCATGATCTGGTATAGCAATTACGATGCAAAACTTAAATAAGGAAGTGGCAAACACAATGTGAAGAACTTCTGGATGGGCAACAGACACGCTCGAGGGAAGTGAGCAGGTGCAAGCCGTCAGCATGAAACTGAACTCCGATGGCTTGTCGCGAAAATAGTTGACATTGCACAGCGCATACTACAAAGCTCCCCTACTACCCCTACTCTAGATCAATAGTGAGTTGCTTAATAGGTTTTCTTTCCAGCAGTCATTCTGTTCACAGATTAAAACAAAGGACAGATGAGTTCCACAAGCTTGACAGACATTGACAAAAAAGATAGCACTGACTGTAAATGAGTGGAGAACTCCTCGAAGGGCTGAGGAGGTGGGGGAATTTGTTGCCACATGTCGGGTGTAAGAATGGCGTAGGTGGCAGTGATCTACATGCGGACCCAGGACAAATCAGACAGCGACATTAACCAAACTCGAAATAATAGGTGGCGTACCGCAGCGTAGGTCGCCTTGAGGAAATTGCCCATTGTCGAGGTGTTTCCTCGGGATTGAGTGTAGACATCCTGGACACCAGCCAATTGAAGAAGACGCTTGCTTGCGGGAGCAGCAACGATCCCGGTACCTCGAGGAGCAGGGACAAGCTTGACGTAAACGGAGGCAGTCTTTCCTTGAACCTTGCAAGGAACGGTGTGGGGCTCTCCAAGCTTGGCACCCCAGTATCCACGTCGGACAGGGATGATAGAGAGCTTAGCAATCATGATGGCACCTCGAATGGCAGTGGCCACTTCCTTGGCGCACTTGACACCGAGACCCAAGTGTCCATCAGAGTCACCGATGGCTACAAAGGCTTTGAAACGGGTTCGTTGACCGGCTCGGGTTTGTTTCTGGACAGGCATGATCTTCATGACTTCATCTGAATTCGAAAACCAAAATGGGTCAATATACTTTCATAAGGTGAGCGAGGAGACCAAACCACCTTTGAGGTTAGGGAGAAGGATATCAATGATCTGGTACTCCTTGACCGGAAGCGAAAAGAGGTAGATTTCTTCAATAGATTTGATTTTGCCATCCTTTACAAGTCGGCCAAGTTTGGTGACAGGGACCCTGGAAAATTTTCACACCGACCGATTCATTTGATTTATCAGCATAAATACTAGGCCAGAAGTGCTGGATGAACGGCTGGACATCGAAAAGAGCGCTCACCACTCCTTCTCTTCGTCCCTCTTGGCACCCCGACGAGGACCACGACGAGGACCACCTCGGCCACCACGACCACGGCCAAATCCACCACGGTCACCACCACGTTCACCACCACGTTCAGCTCGGTCTGCCATTTTCGGAAATATGAAGAAAGTTGTGTTGCCTTGCGAGTCTTGAGGTCGATGAACGTCGTCGAGGGCGGATTGTTGATGGCAAAATGGCGCGCGAGTGGGATTAGGGTTCGAAGTCCGTCAGGGTGGGAGCGGTTGGCTGCGGACAGATGTGATACTCGCAAATGGATTACATGACTTGACACTGTATTCATTCAGCGGCCCCGTCATTTGGGCTTGCACGTATCGGATCCCGCACCAATATCCACAGCGACGCGCATCGGACATGCAGTCCATACACGCATACAGCGCCCAGTGCTCGGTTGATGTCTTCGCGTTGGGATTCTGGGAAGAACAAAAGCTGGAGGATCTTTACAGAAGTAGAATTTCTCCCCGCAGTACAAGCTAGTACAAGTTAAAGTCACAATGCAGAATCTAAATCCTTGCAAAGCAGAATAGGCGGGAGCTCCAGTCATGATGTCTCAATCTGGGACGATTCTGGAAACAAACCAATGGGTTCAAAATTGATCCGGCTGAGTCCTGATGACGAAACAATATGAAGGAGAAGAAGAGATATTTAGTAGACAGCCTTATTGGAAGCTTCTTCACTTTTTCCTTTCACTTCTCAACTTTTTATCAACAACACAGACGCGCATCACAAAATTGAAGCTTTCAGTCTGATATATCAAGGATACCGCCGTGACTGAGGTAGCCGTCATATACCTATCCCTACATGACGAGGAAGACGGATTATCACTGATGGCGTTTGTCATGTCTTGGCCCTCAAAATATCTTGTGGTCTAATCGTTTGGATTATGAATCAGAATCCAAATTTCTACATTGGCAGGATCTGGAATCGGATGCAGTGCATGTGGCTGTGCTTTTCGATCCAGCCGACTCACTCTTGTTGTACGCGGCCTTTCGAGGAATTAATATTTGGCTAGGATCTATAGGATATTTATATTTTTAATCCTTCTCCGAAGCTTTGTTTATCTTATGACGAATCCCTCCTATCTTGGGCCGTGAATGAATAAGATGCCGTGGCATCCGATCGCATGATTCGGGTATTGGTATTATGAGTTATGTGAGGAGAATAATACAAAATATTAAGAGGGGAACATCAATCAAGTCAGAGAGCGGGACCGAGAAATGTTAACCCGAGTATTGAAAGAAAGGCTCCGCAAGCAAGAATTCTACTTGATCATCATATCCTTGATGATGGTGAGCCAAGACGCCAAGCTTCAATGCGAGATAACATCTCATCCATGTTGAGTCTTCTATTCAGCACCGCCTCAAGGATTGATTTTTTACTTTTATTTTGGGTTGAATTTTTGCGATTGGATGATGAAATGTTGTAAAGCTGGCTCTATGAAGTATTTATTTGGTCACGATATCTCCAGCCGAAGTTTGGATGCAATTCATGGAATCAAATGAAAGATGAAAGAATGGAAAGGCATAAAAAGAGGCAGCTAGACTGCCTTGATGCAATCCTCTTCACCCATCTTTCCTCTCGCTTACGACCTTCCTAACATCATTTGTTCTATTTTGTCTTCAAAATTCCTATTTTACAACAATATGAAGTACCTCGCACTCAGCAGTTATCTTTTCCTATCTTTAGTTGTAGTCAGAGCTCACAACATCTCGTCGGCTGATGATGCCACCACCACCTTACCTGCTGACGCTGCCAACTACACCTCACTTTCTCCTGAGAGCATACCCGCGCAAGCCAACCAGACCACTTCAGTAGCTCAGTCTGTCAGCACTGAAACCACCACCGATAGCGTTGCGGTCGATGACAGCGCCAACAACTGGTCGAATGATGATACTACCGCTCAAAACACCTCACCTGCTGATGCTGGCAACAACACCTCCCTACAGGGCACATGCGTGGCCGCCAACATGAACGACACAGCAGTCAATGTAACCAGTTATGAAATCACCTACGGGAACGATTCGGTTCAAGACGTCAGTAATAACGCATTATGCAGTACGACAGTCATCAACGCCAGTTTCTCAGATTGGGAGGCTAGCAACCTCACGACGACCGTCGAAGTGAATCAAACACTCACCCATCAAGTCATGAATCACACACTATGTTATAATTATTTCCTTGAGAAAGATGGTTGCGTCCAAACCTCTACTGACCGACCGTGTAGCAGTAATACCACTTCTGGAAATACAGCAAACTATATTGGAACTGTGAGTAGATTGGTTTACAATTCTCAATAAAAGGATTAATGTCATCTGATAGAACTCGCACTCTATATCATTGATTTTCTCATCAATCAGTTTGAAACTCGACCCTCAAGAAGACGACTTGGACGTCGCTATGATAGTACCAATGGAGTGAGTGATTTATCAGATATACGAAAATTTTCATCTAATCAATCCTCTGACACTTTGAATCTTTTCTCTGCAACTCTAGTCACTTAGCATAAATGGCGGAGATGGGGTAAGTCGAAATATATAGTGGAAGGATATCTCGATGAAAGGGTATACTAACCCATTGCTTTCCATATAACTTTAACTCGAAACGAAAGATCTGCGGTAAGTGTCTATAAGACTGATTTCCCAAGAGGTACGCAAGGAGAAGGATATACATGCTGATTTTTACTCCTTTGAAACTTCAGGTCCCTACAACACTGACACCACGTCAGGTGAGCTTCAATCTTTGAATTGACAAATTTTACACAAACTGGATATTGAGCCAAGAATATGTTTTTCAATGTGATAGGTGTATGTCTATGGTCTGGATCAAACTGGGTCGATGGATCAGACCCTCAGACAGCCGGATGGTTAAACGGGTGAGCTCTTATATCTTTTACCTACGGCTGCAGTAGACTCTTCTTGATTCAATATTGACCATGTGGAATCACTTCAGTGCTGCGACTGGTAACTGTGGAAAGCAAGTGTAAGTAACAAAATTCCATTCCGCCTACTCGGAATGTATAAACTTACTAGCAAGATGATCACAAACTGATTTTCTTTCATTAACTTTTAGTTACATCCAACGTCAAAATCAACCCGAAACTGTTCAATATGCTCCAGTGTTAGATGGCTGTAATTTCTGGACCAGGCAACCAGAGGTGGGATGCTTCCAAATCTGGATGACAAAGGATGTAAGCTTCATAATGCTGTTGATGATGAAGTGATCTTTTGGGTTAATTGATGCTAACTAGAGTTATTTTTAATCATTCAAAGTTATTCGATAAATTTTCTCCAACTGAAGAAGAAAGTCAAAACTTGCTAATAAGTTCAACTTTCACTTGGGATTTGTAAGTTAAATTTTCATCTTTACCTTTCTAAAGATCAAGAAACCCTTCGTCGTTCTTACACATTTATTATGTGATTTCTTGACCAAAATTTTAGTGACAACCTTCATGGTCAATCACCTCAAAATGCTCCATTGTAATTTTAACTGAATTTCAAAATGGAATAACGAAAAAAGAAATGACAATGATATGATGAATCTGATAATCACGATTACTTGATTGATTTATATTTTCCTTTTCTCAAACTCTCAATTTTTCTCATAGACAATGGACAAATAAAATTCTTCTCTTTAGCAACTTTCAATACTTGTATTCATTGTAACAGTTGTCAGACTTTTTCTTCATCTTTTACACAATAAGGGGGCTCAAGTCAAAAAATTTGCGGCCTTTTCTTAAAAAATCGGGGAAAGTTTATTACGGTACCGTGCTGTAAAAACTTTTCCCAATTTGTAAAAAAGGACCAAAAAATTTCTTTCGGATCTCCTTCTGAGCAGTAAATGTACGCAAATTTGCTGCTTAAAAAAATTTGGGATGTTGTATAACATTTCCCAAATTCATAAAATTTTGCGTAAATTTTATGAAATTGGGAAAAGTTATTTACGATAAGAGCATCCACTATGGGTGCGGTAACCAAGTGATTTATCGTAACTTTAACGCTAAATTATACACAGGTCCACTATGGACCTGTTTTAGACTTGCGGTCCGTACGACTGCATCAAATCTTGCTCTCCGTGTGTTCAAATCTACGCAAGCCTACGACTTGATTTATCGTAGGAAATCAAGTCGAAACTACTGTTCCCAAAACTTCAAACTGCATATGAAACTTCATTTCTCAAACTTCAAACATCAAAACCTCACTTTTGAACTTCAAATTTCAAACTTCATCCTCAAATCTCAACTTCGAGATATCACATCTCGGAACATTGCACTTTGAATTGAATCGATTTCAATCACAACATCACCCTATATCTTAATCTTTTGCGAGACACCTTAAGAATTGAGGTGCACAATAGTCAATTGCTGAGTAGGCTGAGCTCGAGCTCAATCTGTTTGGAATTGAGTCTGAAATGGTGAAGGTGGTGTGTGAAGCCTATAAAACAAGATTTCTAGACAAGTTGCTCAAATTCTTGATGTTCCTCATCATTGTGGTTTGAAGACTTCAAAAGACAGTCGATGTGTCTCTTCAAGGAACTTGTAGTGGGCATCTGATGGATGGTTTTTCGGATGGGATTTGTGAGAAAGATATGATAAATCATTGCAAAATCAAACCACTGTGGATCTGGTTGATTCACAGTGATTTATCGTAGTTAAATCAGACACTACATCAATCCGTAGTGGATTTCATGCGGTTACCAACTTAGGTAAAACACGCGTGATTAAATTTCGCGGTCAGGAACGCAAAACTTACGATAAATCACCATCATGATAGTGGATGCTCTAAAAGTAGTAAAATTTTTTGACTTGAGCCCCCCTAATATGCATGCTGTTTTACGACACAAAAACAAGATGTCAGATTTATTTTTCTCTTGAACTTCTGGAATCTTGAGTCACACCCCAAACTTCTTCAAATTTCATCAGACTTGATACTTTAACTTTGAAAAAGATGAGAAATATTAAGCCATCATAAGGATATAGACAACAACGAAAAAAAACTGTTCTTTAAGATCACGTTATCAAGTTGAACAAGATATCAAAATACATCCAAACTTTTGAGCCTCATTGAATCTTCACCTCCCCCCTGAATTTTGATTTTAAGTAGAATCGTAGCGGGAAAAAAGTCAAATCAGAAAAGCTATCAAACTACTCTATGAGACTGTGTTGTTCATTATTCTAGTGGAGATACAGAATTGAGCAAGTCTGTACATCTCCTAATACATATCAACTAGATGGGATATATGAGTGCGTACTTTCTCTTTATCATTATTGCATAGATGACAGTGAGCTCATCTAGATCTTTTATCACCTTTCGCCCTAAAAGTGAGATCATTTTTTCCCCCTATTCTTTCCATTGTGATCCAATCTCAATTACTCTCCCTTCCCCTCCTGCTCACATTCTTGTGATTCTTCTGCTTAAATTTATCTCATCCTCTTGGTTTTTTCTTATATCACAATGTCTCACTTTGCTTATAAATACCTTCATATGTTGTATGCTTGAGCCTCATGATAAAAGTGTGTAAATAAAACCCTCGCGGCATACACATTCGTATCCTATAATGAAACTTACATTTAAGCCCACAGGAGTTCTAAAATGTCACGCAAGAAAATCCAATCCTTTTTGTAATCAAATGAATTCCAAACAAAAAAGTCTTCAAAAAACTTTCTCTTAGAAAAAGAAAAAAAAACACAAAAAAAAACACACACAAAATGATAATTAAAAATACAAAGAACACAACCAATAGAATCAATCAATCAATCAATCTTGCCTTTCTTCTTGATTGATGGATCTCATTAGTAATCAGTAATGTAACCTAAATTCTGTTTCTTCTCATCAAGTGAGTGTTTTTTTATCATTCATTCAAAAGAAACCCCCCCCCCACACACAGACACAGACGCAAACCCAAATCAACAGATCGAGATCCTCTTCTCCACACCTTTCCTCCCTTCTAAATCTCAAGAAAAGTATCAATTAAAAAGGAAAAAGAGAAAAAAAACTATAATCACCCTTTGAAACAAACCAAAAATTAAATCAAACCAAAAACCAGATATTTACGTATAAAAATCATCTCAAAACTATATCTCTTCTTCTTCTACTACTGCTAGTAAAACTCTCTAAAACTTCCAATCTCCTGGAGTAGAAGCTGCCCAAGTAAACCTAATAAAAAAGTAAAACCCCAAAACATTTCAAAAGTCAGTTTTCTATTCAAATTAAAGATCCACATCAACTAAATGAACAGATATCGAGAAAGACTTACTTTTCACGTAACTGAACAAAGAGATTAAACAAGTGTAAAGATACAAAAAAACGAAGAAAATGGATCAGTTTAAAAGTCGTCAAAAGTTTACTACCACTCAATTTCTGTTCAGTTTGAAAAGCTCTATGCTCTACCTACAGTTTTAGCAAACATCCTTTCAACAGGTACATCATTCCTCTGACACCAAGCATAAGTCAATCTAGGATCTACAAGAAGAAGAAAACCCAATGATCAAATCAGTATCTGAAAATCAAAAACCAAAAAAGACCCAAACAGAAACAAAACAAACCGATATAATTCATCTTAGAAGTACCCAAACTAGTTTCTTTTCCTTCATCTTTATCTTTACAAGCCGTTTTAGCAGCTTCAATTCTAGTATCAATCTTTTCAATAGCTAAAATGATTTGATCAATCGGTTTACTTTTGACTGATTCAATCTTTTTACTAATTCTTTCTTTTCGAATCATAGCTTCATGTGCTTCTGCTTCTTTTAATCTTAATCTTAATTCACTTTCATCCATAGGAGATTCTTCGGCTTTTTCTAATGCTAAATTATCTTTTTCAAATTCTATTCGGAAAAACAAACAAACACCAGATTAGTTTGTTTTCCTTTACCAATCAGCTTATATACACATCTATCAAATCCTCCAAAATCAACTTACTCTTAGTTACTTTCTCAATTTCTTTTAATCCTAAATCCTTTTCATGTGCTTCCATCCAATCTTCATCGATGTCACTCTCATCCTCTAAAAATCTCTTGTGTTTCTTCTTCTCAAATCCTTCATTAGATATCAATTGATACCTTAGTCTTCTTCTTTGATATTTCATTGCTTTGATCTTTTCATACGCTTTTTCCATTGATGTTTCATGTCCTTTACTAACACTCTTTTGATGGTTACATAAGACGGCTACTTGTCGATTGGCTTTATTATAAGCATAAATCTTTTCGGCTAAAGTTGGTACTTTTAGTTCGTTCATGTTCTTTTCCAATTCACGTTCGAATGTGAATGAAGCATTATATGTACGGAACACTTTCGCAGTTAGACCTGGCATGTAATCTGAAAGATGCTTATTGAGTGAGGAAGTCTGAAGTCAACGCACACCAGAAAAAAACATCACGTTAGCTTTCGAGTTCATGTAAGAAAGCGAAGAAATGAGGACGAGAAAACAAACAGTGAGTCGATCAAAGATCATATCCCCAATCGCTTTAGGTTCCTTTTTGAAAATCCTCAAATTCTTGAAGACGGCTTCATCAACCTGAACCGTATTAAAAAATCGAATTGAATCTTTACCCAAGAAATCAAAGGTAACAGTCGAAGGAGGTTCAAGTGTGAGATGTTCATATCTCAAACTACAACAACCAACTGTATCCGCTTCATCATCTCCTTTCTCATTACCAGCTCTAAGTGCTAAAACATCAATTAGATACATTGCTGTTGCTCTTTGTCTTGTAGCCATAACTTTATCTTCTAATTCTTGTCGGTAATCGGCTCGGATCCGTTCGATATGGAGTTTCAGTTGTCGAGCTTTCTCAAATTTCTTCATATCAGATTGACCTTTGAGTGAAGAGCCAGGTGCTAGGAAGACGTATTTGAATGCGCCTATTCCCGTTCAAGTCAATTCCCGTCATGCAAATGAAAGGTGGAAGATGTGAATTTCGATTTCAATGACTTTATGGATCAAAGATTGACGACTGACCATTGATGTTTTCTTTCCACATCGCTAGCCAACTCGCTTTATCAAGATGTACTACCGATCCCCACTGATGACCAGCTGGTGGAATAGGTATGGGTGCATCTTTACTGCAATTGATTGTGATGTCTTCAGCATAGATCCGTTTCTATTCAAGATGGAATCAATCATATTTAGTCATCTCTTTCTTCACTTTTGAAGTTTCAAGTCAAAAGGAAACAAACCTTCAATCGACCTGTTTTAGGATGTTCACCTCTACCTCTGAACAAAGAAGGAGGTTCAACTCTGAAATTCCCTACTTTCTCTTGACGACCATCTAATAAACAAAATTGAAACTGTTTCTCAAGTTCATCTTTTTCTTTCTTTAATTTCGTCTTCTCTTCTTTTGATAAACTCTTTTTACGTTCCCTTTCGGCATCGTAATATTCAAAGATTGGTGTAAAATCACATTTTTCAAACGAAGTGATTTTTGTTCGATCTCTCTATTGGGTTAAACACACATCAGAACAGAACAAAAAACCATATGAAAACCAATGCAAAAAGACTTACAGGAGGATGAAGTGCGAGAACCTCGAGGAAATCATTGAAAAAGTTTTGACAAAACGTAGGCTTCTGACAGTGATCTGAATTAAGCATTGCACCAAAAAATCCAGCGACTTCTTCCGATTCGGGCGGTAAATCTACGCTCTTGCCTTCATATTTCATCTTCACATGTTTCGGTAATGGTACATATTCAGGAGGGAAAAGAACTCCGTTATGCTGATCAAAGGAATTTCACTGAATGAGTTGATAATCCAATGATGTGATACGATTGCGTTCGAGACCTACTTGTAATGTATCCCATTTCTTGGTGTCATCATCTTTGGTTTGTTCCCACCATTTATACTCTGCGTCTTCAGCCTCTTCGTCAGTACTTTCAAATCAGATACAGAGGATATCAGTCTTACTTAGCCAGCTCGTTTGAAACAACATAAGTAAAGATTTGGTAGCATACCCTTTCTGTTCTTCTTCCTTTTTGACTTTTGCCCCCTTCTTGTTAGGCTTAGAATCTGCGTTAGTAGAGGCACTGGCTGTTGTATTGGGTTTAGCCTTTGCTTTAGCTTTGATAGGTTTTTTGTCGGCCAATGGGATAGGTGCCACTGAATCTAAATCTTCAACCTTAGGTTTTATATCTTTGCTCTTTTTCGACTTGGCGGCTGATCTCGGTTTAGTAGCTATCACTGGTTTTATATCAGGTTCTTCGATCCTGTAAAAAGATAGATTCGGTCAACATAGGGTTTGTCTGAAATGAAGTCAAGACAACATAGATGAATCAATGAACAAACTTTGGTTGGATAGATTTACTCAATCTAGGTTTCTTAGTAGGCATTGCTTTACTGACAATTGGTGCATCATCGTCAGAAGAAGCCCCAGAAGAAGGTTCACGTTTGATTTTCTTTGAATTTGAAATAGATCGTCTAGAAGGTTGAGTAGTTTGATTGATTTTCTTAAAGGATGGTAATTTTTGTTTCATGATTGGTTCATCTTCAGATAAATCCGATTCATCTTGAGTTTTTAAATTGGTTTTAGTTGAATCTGTATTAGTGGTAAGAGTACTACTACCATCGATAGACTCATTTGAAGTTTTACTTGTACGTTTTTTTGGTTGAGTGTTTGCAATCGGTAAATCTTCTTCGCTATCACTTTCTTCAGTTTGTTGATGTGATGGTAGTTTTGAAGGTAATTGAGATATGATTGAATTTGGTGGTTTTGATAAATTGATTTTAGTTGAGATGGGTTGATTATGTTGATCAGAATGGAAATCTGAATTGTTAGTTGTAGGTTTGTTTCGCTTAGCCTAGAAAGACAAAGAGATCTAGCATGAGAATGAATGATTGGTTTTGATTAGATGACGAATAAGAGACTGACCAGATGAATAGGAGTATCATCCTCATCAGATGAAGATTGAGGAATGATTCGTTTAACATTTGATCTGATAGTGGTCATCACCTTGGCAGTTGAATTAGACATGATGATGATGGCGATGGATGATGAATGAGAAGTGAAGTGTAGTTTAGTATTTTGAGAAGTGAGAAAGTGGATTGGTTGTTCTTGTTGACTTGATTCGATTTGATGAATTGATGGTAAACAGATTGATGATGATGATGATGGTTTTGCTTATCTAATTAGGAAATCAAGCAAATGACTTTTTATCTTAAATTATTTTATTTTATTTATTTTTTATTTGAAAATTTGTAGATTAAAAGTGGTGATACCATCCTAGGAAGATACTGAAAGTGAGTGTCTCTTTTAAACCTGACCTTTGATACACATAAAGCTCTTCAAAGTGAATTGACTAATTTGTAGTTATGTTCTTGTTTAAGTGATGGTAAGTTAGTGGTTAATTCATCGATCGTTCATTCAACATCGACTTTTCATTCAAACCTGCCCAACCCAACACGTTCTTCCAACTCCCTCTCTTCAAATCACTCACGCCCTGCTACATGTGTTGTATATCCATCCATGCTCACAAGCCCAAGGTCGGTTACCCCCTGGTGAGAATTACTCTGGTTTCAATCCCATCGGTGCTCAATCTTGCTTAATCAACTCCTTGAAACTTTTAACCGCTCTTTCCTCAATCTTGCTGTACATATTCAACAAATGAAATCATCTCTTGCTCATAACCACAAACCCCTGGTTACCTTCCAAATCATCCTGTACCTCCAATCCGCACGCCGTTATACTTGACCCCAGAACTCAACGTAGAGATGACGGCAGATACCGGAAATATACGCATCCAGAAAGAGATCTCCCTCGGGCTATAGCTTTGTGCCCGGGGTCTTAATCCCCGTTAATCACACCCGCGCATTGGCGGGTCTGCAGCTCGGGCCGCGCATCAGCGCTGTAAATGAAAAGATGACCAAAAGGGAAAAAGTTCGTCCATTCATCTGTAGAGCAGTATCAATGAAGTAGGTGTCTCTCATATACATAGGTATCTCCTAGGCCCAACCACAGCAAGACATAACCCTTACAAAGGCCAACATCCTACTATGTGTGGGGTGGGGGGGCAAAGGTTATCTAGTAACTGTGAGGAATGATATTCTTGCTAGGATTTATAACCCCTGAGGAGGAATGACTCCTCAACCCTGGGATGGCAAGCAGGTGTTTAAAAAGATGTTCCATTATCAGAAATAAGAGAATGAGAGCAGCCAAGTGAAAACATGACAGAAATCTCAAGTGCATCTGTGAGTTGAAGGAGTGCAGTGAAGGAGATGTGAAAATTCTTTTCACTTTCCCTTCTGAGGCATCAGCTCCCAAATGCTGGGTGACCTGGTAATACCACCCATCACCTGTCAGACGTATGAAAATTTATTATGCACCTGTGATTCCAACCTCTCTATTGAATGGACTATTCTGTACCTCCACAAGCTCTGGGAATATCTTCAAAACCGTGCCAGAAAGCCCCAAATAGAAGAGTGTTGATTGAAAATCAAGACTTGTGGGAATGCAAAAAAATTGTATAAGAGGTGAACTGAGGAAATTTAGCACATGACAACTGGAATTGAATCTTGTAAGTAAAGAACTCTAAATGAATCAGGGGAATGATAAGTATTTTTGATGACTGCTTTCAGGGAGGAGAGGGAGAACACTTTGTAAGGTTCAAAGAGTACAGACAACAGAGAAACAAATGAAAGTGTTAGAGCAAGAAGACATGAATGAACATAGAGCTCCAGTGACCACCAGAAGTTCTTTAAAATATGTTGAGAGCTGTACTCATGGCCTTGCAAATTTTCAATTGGCAAGAAATGAACCACTTTTTTGGAAGGCATCAACCTATACTTGCTGCTGCTTTGCAGGTTTCTTGGTGCTGTTGAAGACCCTGAGCCTGAGGTGGGACAAGAGTTTTGTTGGCCCCAGTGTGTATCTTGGCAAGGTGCTGAGGGCTGTGATTATTGAGCATATCAGAGGGGTTGTTGAAATGTGATTGGGAGTGAATGTGCCAAAGGATCTTGTGAAATTCAGTTAGGTGCTCCTGCTTGGAGTCAAATACCACATCAAGGCCATCAAGGGCCTCCTTGGTCAGGAAGATGGCTCTGTTGTTGATGGAGTAATTTGTGTTGCTTGGCTCCATTGATTATGATCTGCCAAAGCCGCTGGCAAACATTGGAAACATTGGAAACTGGAACAGGCTGGGTCACTGACATTACCGTGTGGCGTAGCCTGCAGATTGAAGGCAGCACTACAGAGATATCATGATATCCATGAAGCCTCAAGGGCAGTAATACTGCTGATGTGTTTTGGGTGAATGGGCTGCTGTCATACATACAAGGGTTGGAAAAAAGGAGACTGTTCCTGTGGGGTGCCAGGTGTTGCATTGAATTGTCAACAGGGAAAGCTTGTTGGGGTTAGGGTTAAAGGATGCATAATTATTTGAAGTGGATGTGGCTGTGCACAACACGGTTTGCAAAAAAGACCAGCAATCTGGGATTTAGTAACTAACAAAGGGGTCATTTTGAGTGTAGGTGACAGCACAGTTGTTGGGGGAGGGATAGAGGGTTGAGGAGCATAACATTGCAGTTCTTGCTGTAGCGTAAACAGGTCCAATGGGAATTGGACTTGCTAGGGGGAGGTGGTGGGAGCATGTAATTAGTGAGCTCCATCAGCAATAAATTGTAACAAGGGTAGTTGTATTGACAATTTGGTGGTGTGTATAATAAAGAGGGCACATTAGGGGTGCAAGTGTTGGTACTATGATTGTTATAATTAACGGTACTCAAAGTTGTGTATACTTTGCTGTGCATAGTTTTTTTGTGTTTTTTTGCAACTACAAACAACTTGGAAAAAGTATGTTTCTTGATTGAAGCTCAAAGATATGTACTTTTAAGCCAAAAACATAGTTTTCCCTGGTTGTGTGAAGTTGTGAAAAAAGAAAAGAAAACTATGCACAGCAAAGTATACACAACTTTGAGTACCGTAATTGTTCACGCTATTATTGTTGGGAAAGTAGCTCACCTATCAGTAGAAGCTAAGTAACACCAATAATAGTGGTATTCAAAACTCCAGAGATGTGTCCCAGAAGTGTCCAGAGGTGACATCCAGGAACTTCTGGGAGACCTCCAAAATGTTTTTGGGCATCTGGACTCATCTGGACTCCAGAAAAATCTGCCTCTGTATATTCATAACTTCTCAAATGTCCCATCACTTTGCATCAATTTGATCAACACCTTCAACACTACACCATCATACTCAACACCCGCCTGCCAATCTTGACTTGTACTTTTAGCTCCTGTCCTTCTGCCTTTGTATCACCAATCATCACCCCATATATGTGGGAAACTTTGAGTGCTCATTCTCAGATTTACCTTGTGTTTCTCTAATATCTATCTAGCACCAAATTTAATTCTGATCATTTTTGTGTACAACATTTTTGTCTTTTGCGAGTAACAGATAAAAACTTCAAAGGTGATTTTGATTATACAAACAAGTTCTTCTTTCTGATGTATCAAAAAAAGCAGTCTTGTTTCATTTCAACAAGACATCTGTGAATTTGGATAGAGAAAAATACAAGAACAATTATTCTTAAAAGATGAGATAGGGGAGTCAAAGGAGTTAATTGTTGAATCTTGATTGATGGTTGAATTTTGATTGATTGTTCAAGTTCACTCAAATGTGCAAGTTCAATCAATTGTTCAATCTCAACCAATTGTTTGTTAACTTCAAAGTACAAAGACAAATCATTCTTAAAAGATGAGACAGAAAGCTGCAGGAGTTGAGTGTGCCATTTTGATTATTCTTCAATCCTAGCTGATTGTTCATTTCAATTGCTTGTTCAACTTCAATTTCAATTGCTTGTTCAACTTCAATTTCAATCAATTGTTCAATTCCAATTGATATTGATTGTTCAATGTTCATTCTGATTTGATGTAACCACATTGATTCATATGAGGTGGGATGAATTGGGTAGACTGAAGAGTGAGACAAGTCACAACAGCATTTAACTGCTGGGCTAAGAGGTGTTTCTGGCAAGACAGAAGCAATGCAACAGGAACGGGGGCATGTGGGGCTCTCAAAGCTATCAAGAAAGGTCAACAAGTGACATCCAAAAAAAATTGGAGGTGTCCCAGAAGTAATACCCCTGATGTGTGAAATGACTCACAATCATTCTCCATGGGTCTAGTCCCTCAAAGCTATACCTCTACCAACTGACTAATATATATTTGGAATTTCTCACTCCATTATTCAGACGTCAAAATTGATTTGATCAAGTTTAAAAACCACCATTAATATTGTTTCAATCAAAAATACCCACAGAATATGTGTTATGAGCCTTATATACCATGTATGCTTGTACTGAGTCTGACTCGACTCTTGAGGATGGGAGAGGGCCTTGTGCTTGGTTCCTCATGTTGCAATCTATTCATAAGCAGCTAGACACCTTTCACCCAGTTCACTTTTCAGGTTCTTACAATATGGGTGTATCAAAGAGATTCTGAATCACACCCAAAAATTTAAACAACAGGAAACACACTTATTGTGTTTTTTTTCACCAACTATTAGTAAAAATGAATCTACTTCTGTTATGGTAAAGTTTGTTGATGAGAAGGATTCACTCTGAAAGAAACAATTAGACAATATTGGAAAGGTCAATTGCATTTAGTGAGCTTACCTGAAAGAAACAATTAGACAATATTGGAAAGGTGAAGAAGAGAGAAACCAATCCAGTCTAACAACAACTAACAGTATATCAATAACTAATGCTAATAATGTTATAAGAATATTGTTACAGTGAAGAGAAAGTTAGCAAACTACATACTATGATGTAATATCAATCACTGTCACATAGATTACATCCATAACATTTGTTATGTTAAAGCTGTGTTATGAAATTAGGTCAAGTTCATCATGGCTAGACTAACATGAAGGTGGTTGGCCACATAATGGTGATGGTAGTTGTGTATCAACGCTGAGACAGCTACGCTACAACACGCTACCATGCATTTTGTATGTAGCGTAACTGTATGCAGTTAACACAGATCTGACCTTTATGATAGTGTAACTTGTCAAGTTACACTACACTACGAGCTACTGTAGCTGAGTTTTGTGCCTCTACACTACGCTACAGGGCCAAAATTTGGTTAGCTGGAGATTTTCTGGGACTCTGCGTAGGGTAGCTGGGATTCATTCATGCTAATTCCTGCTAGCTGTAGCTTTGCGGCATGTTTCTAGCTACACTATCTTGCGCTATCAGCTACGGGTAGATTAGCTGTCTCGGTGTTGTGTGTATTTCTCTTGTTTTATCATTTTCCTGTTTTAGTCATCAGTATTAGTGCTAGTTTCCTGGTTGTATCAACTTGCTTATCTTGAATGTGTGCCAGCAGTCAGTTGATTTTGTCTGTTGCTCATTATTGTGCACAATTCTGACTTATATACCTGCTCTCTCTTGAGCTCCAGGTCCCTCCCTTACTGTGTGGGACTGGAAGGTTAAGAGTAGGTCTTTTTATTTCTCTCTCTCTTTTTTCATCATCACCAGACAGTACTCATCTTAGTGTGATAGATTACCTTTCTTTCCTATCATGTTCATTGCCTGCTCAGTTGCAGGTCAGGCGTAAAATCTCATTCTGCCAGTTTGTCTTCATTCAAGTTTATTACTAAAACTCTTCATCAACCCATCTGTCCAGGTTGTTGTGTAGATCATTATCTGCATTATTTCTTTTCAACTTCAAGTATCAAACATCAAGTTTTCCCTGTAAAAACAAACTCACATGTTTAAATTTTATCTATGAGGTTTGTATGAGTTTAACACCAAAATCTCACATCAGACAATTTCATGAAGCCTAATCAATCTTCACTGCCTAGGCCTTTTCTTCACATTTCATGTAAATTAAGGTTGTAAGGCTCACAAATCTTACTCATAATACACTTATAAACTTGGCAAAGCATATCTCAGACTGTTTCCATTGGCATCACCTAACATGATGATGATCACATTTGTTCAGATATATATGATTTGCATGATTTCTCACCACTATGTGCTTTCACTCAAGTTGGTCTTGACCTCAAGGTTTCTCTTTCATAATTATGAATCATATCTTTTATACAGAAAGCTTGGACTATTGGTCTCTATTGCTTCTTGCCTTCTAGTGATGGATTTCCAGTAAGGTCAATATACTACTTACACCCCTAGATAAAATGTTTAAATAGACCTTCATAACCTTTATGAGTAGTTTGTTGTGCTAGTGAGTGTGAAAGTAATTCACCTGTGAATCCTGATATTTGAGCTGTGCACTTGATGTGTTTGTGAATGTATGCGGTCCCGAATCGGTCTTAGCTCGTGCTTACCCGGGTAGTCACTGCAAAACATTACCCGGCAATGATTCATCTTTCCAAATTAAACGCCACTTCCACTGACATCATCATTTAACAAGAAGAAAAGCTCAATCGATCTTAACCATTCAATCAATCACAATGTTCACTTCCCGATCAATCACTACACCCTTCCGCCAACTCTCATCAATCAAACCACTCACCAAGTCAAGTACTCTGCAATCCGGATTCCGAATCTCTAAACCTCGAACCTTTTCAAGAGATATGATGAATGTAAGAACGTTTATGAGTACGAATTGTATTTATCAATCTGAATCAAAGGATCAAAGTTCAATTATCAATTATCGAGAGTTGAAACCATTAACGTTAACTCCTAGTGATGTAAGTCATCCAATTCAGATCATTCAAACCATCATCATCAGAACCAAATGTCTAATCAAATGAATCTCTAGGATGTTTTATTAATCGGTCAGTCAATCAGATCCTAATCTCCCCCTCCCCCCAAAAAATCAAAAACTTATTTCTATATTGATAAATTGATATGATTTAGATGTAAGAGAAATTGAAGAAGTAGTACAAGGAAACATACCATCATCAGTAAACTTACCATTATCTTCATTAGAAAAATCATTAGAATTACATTCAGATGAGTTTATTAAATTTAATGGGTTTCCTAAACCTAATTCGAATCAAAAGATTATCTTTTATTGTAGATCTGGTCATAGATCTCATACTGCTATGGAAATTGCTAAACTTAAAGGATTTAAAAAGTTTGTTATTCTTTTTTTCGTTTTGGTTTTGATTGAAATCAATCTCTTTAATGTCAATCTAACTGACCTTTTGATTTGATTTGGTTTCATTTTCATTTTTCATTTCAACTACATAATAAAGTGTTAAAAACTACAAAGGATCTTGGGTAAGTTCGAGAACTTTCTTTCGAATATGTATACATAAAATAATGTACTAATAAACTCTTTCGTAATCATTTTACAGTTGGATTGGATTCAAAAAGAGCAATCTACTTGAAATCCATCCAGTTGAATCTTTTTCTTCATTTACCTATCCCATGATTTTTTCTTGATTCATCTCAAGATACTGTAAACATTTATTCCTAATACTAAGTATGGTTATTAGTTTATTATCATACTTAGTAATCAAACACCATGATATCAATATGTTTGGAAATCATTGTGCCATGTTCTGCAGAGCATTGTTTTAGTGAATGCAATTCAAGGCTATGTACCAGCGATGTGTTTATCATATGAAGTGCTCTCTGTTCACTTCTCTCTCTTACCTTTGTGCTACGGTCTACCTCATAAGCCGCCCACAGCACAATGAACCACATTCGCAGGCCTTAAGAAACTAATAATTTCTTCACAGATCACCGTTGGAGTTGATTTTCGAGTCTTCAGGGAATAACTCAAACCCCTTTCAATCCAGGTCTTGTAATAAACTGATCTATGGATTTATATACAGTCGATATCTGTTGTCAAGCTAAAGATCTCGACTTACTCCAAAATTTCATTGCCACATCATTGGAGAAACAAGATAGCATAAATGCTAGTATGTAATCCAAAATGAATTTCAATGATTTATAAAAATAATAATACCTCAAGAAAAAAAGACCACCGTCTCAACAAACATATGACCAATTTCTAGTTTCTCAACCAAACAACAACCAATAATCTACAAACCAAAAAACTTGATTATTTGACTTTCTGACTACTTACTACAACTCTTCCTCCTTCTTCTACTACTACTTCTTCTTCTACTTCTTGTGCTTCTTTTTTTTCTTTTTGTAAACCGATTCTTTCTGTTTCATGAACCTTAAACCATCCAGAAAGTTTATCAGAAAGAAGAGTAGCTAAAGCATAAACCAATGATTGTTCTTTATACATTTCAAATCCTTTTTGAACTTCTTCTTCAATACTTTTCTGTTTGATTTCTTCTTCCTACACATGAAAAAAAAACAAAAAAAGAATTAGATTTTATGAAATAAAAGTTTCAGATTGAATTGGATTGAGGAAAAAATGACGAACAGTTTGAAGGGTTCCAATCAATTGATTTTCTTGAATTCGTTTCACAAGTCTTTCTAATCGATTCCATTGACTTGAATCCAATTCAACCGAAACTCTTCTCAAAGACAAAAAAACCAATCTTAATAACTTTTGACCTCTAAACCTTCTAATAGGATACCCAAAAGCATTCAAAAAGTAACAAAAATCTTGTAATCTGTTTTGGATTTCTAAAAAACTACAAGTTGTTGGTAAGGGAGATGTTAAGTTTTGGAAGGTTTTGTTTAGGATTAAGAGGGATAAGTCGTTGGGAAAGATCGATTTGAAGGTTAAATGAATCGAACAAGGTTTCAAGACTTCAAGTAATTTAAGATGGGTTGAGTAATCATTTGAGAATTTAAGGTGGTAAGTAATCACGTCTTTTAATAAGTTGGGTTGTAAGAGTTTAGGATCACATGTTTCTAAAACCTTTAAGACTTTCGGAAATCCTGATTTAGATTCAGGTTTGGAAAGTATACAGTGGATGTAGATTCCGAGTCCTTGTGATTTTCGATGATCCAATCGGTTCTTTTCTACTACACCTCCATGTAAAGTATCAGAAGACGGCATCGAAAGTGCCAAGAGTTGATCCAAGTCTTGAATCATCTGTTCATCTGACGCTCCTTCATCTTCTGATGATAATTTGAGTTTCTCAACCAAGACTTGTGATAAGGAAAGAATCAAACCTGGATCATCAACTTCAGAAGTCTCAATCGAAGAAGACATCAACGAAACTTGTCGATCGATCCGGTTCTTGTGTACTAAATATCCCTGGGACCGTGCAATGACTCTCATCAAATCCAATGATCTTCTTTGGTCTTCTTGATGATCAACTTGTTGGTTAGTAGACTTAAGAACAGATTCGATTTCATCTATTTTGCATGTCCTAAATAAAGTGGACATTAAGTACGGATCATCATACTGTAGATCTTCAGTAGAGAGTTTGTTTGTTTCTGGAAGTAAACATAAGATTTGGATTCTTCGATGTGAGATTTCTGGAGATTGAATCGAACTTGAACGGATTGTATTTAACATTTCGTTTAATCTGAGGTAGAAATCTTGGTCTGTTATTTGATGCTTTCGAAATGAGTTACGAAGCGTATTGAGTAAGATTCCTAAACTCGAAGCAAATAATCTTGAGATAGTTCGGTTCGGTTTTTGATGTAAGGATGGATTAGATGGAAGATGATGGATGAACCAGTCTAGTAAAGGTGAAGAAGGATAAGGCGAGGTGTTAAGAAGAACTTTCCAAAGATGAATGAATGTTTTGAGATCGAAAGAAAGGTTTGGAGTCTCCAAGACTTTCAAGAGTTGATGGTTCAATGGCTTATGATTGATCTCCAGAGCAATAAGTAAATATTGAACCAAGATGGATTTGTGTAGATTAAGAGATTGGAGATTGAAATGATGACGATCGTGAAGGATAGCATAATGTTGAAGATAGTTATGAAGATAATTTGAGATCCTAGTTGGAGAATGTGATTGTGATGGAAATGAATTAAACTGATGATGTGAGATTGAAGCAAGGTGAAGATGAATCGGTTTCAAGAATCTTCGGATAGCTTGATTGATTGAAATCAGATTGGGTTGACCAAGAGAATCACAGATCCCAAGATAATGATGTAAGAGTTGCCAACTTGATAAAATGATTTGTAGTCGGTGAGTAGGAGAAAGTAGGGTTGGATCTGATGGTTGTTGAAGTTTGTATAAATCAAGTTCTAATGAGATAAGTTCTTGAAATGAAAGTTGATTAGATTTTAATGGACCGATTGGAGTGATGATCTTTGATGATTTTGAGAATTCTGAGATTGATTTTGGTAATTGATGAGTGATGAAGATGATGGCAGATTCGAAAGGTGGTTTCCAAGGACAGTTTGATGAACTTTTAGCGAGTTTGATTGATTTGATAGCATTTTGAAGTTGATGGTTTGATTGAAAGTGAGATGAGAGAGTATTTAGTTTGGATTGATGTTGATTGAGGATTGATTGAGTAGTTCGTTTGCAATGGTTCATTGGTCTTGGATCTCATCGCTGCTCATCTGATTTACTTTCTTCAACTTCCTCAGCTTAACTTGGATGGTATCGAATTCGACCCGAGCATTCAAGATCAAGTTCGAGTCGGATACTTTCACAAAAATCAATCACACCAAGTCAACAATTCATAACAATTGGGAAAAGATGAATCTTGGAGATTCTTTTCAAATTGGCCACTTCTTGAATTGTGGATTAGAATAAAATCAACTTCAATAAAAAAAGTGATTCAAACCAAGTGAATTGTACTTAGCATCACTACTCAAACCACAGTGACAGTATGGATCAAAGACTCTGGACCTCTGATCTGTCATTGTACCAAAAAACTTGATGTTGAATTGTCCACTTGCTTGAATCTCGCTTCATGACCACTCATAGAAAGTCGTGTCATGGTGGCACTTTTTTTGGATTTTTTCCCCCAAAATACAGGCCAAATATAGCTGACGCGGAGCGCAGCATAGCTCGAATGGGCAGCCTGAAATGAATAACCGGCTGAATCCGAAGCCATCATGGTACCGATTCGGTGGGTTTGTTTGTCGGTGTGTGCTGCCACTGTTCAATGACCCACCGACTAGCTCAGCAAGACATCGATCCAATCCCAGCCAGCGATATATCGACCCCAAACCAAACATTCGAACGCCGTTCGGCTTTCCAATGTTTGGTCGACCATTGATTCACCCACCGCACCTTTCAAGCAAAGCCAACCGATTGCAAACTTCAACCACGAGTAGGCCGAACCCCAGGCACCTATAAAATGACGACGTCCCCGACCTGTTCCCCCTCCAATAAGCCAATTAACAAACCAATCAAAGTCAAAAAACACAGGTTGTTTTCAATCACTACTGGCAGCATGGTCAACAATAAGAAAAATTCTTCCCACATCCCTTCGTTTGTTTTTTTTTGCTTTCCTGCCAATGCTTCATTTTTTCCTCTTCAATTGGCCATTTCCACTCACATGGATTTGTTTACAGGTCATCCGATGGCCGAATCGATGTCCTGTCCCGTACTCTACGTAATCGCACCTATTCACAAGCCCTCATGGGTGTTGGTGGACCTCGGTGAGTATGGGATCTACCTCAGCTTTCGGACCCCAAAAAAAAGACGTAACTGAAGTTTCTTTGTTTTGTGTAGGATGGGTGCCCAAACATCCACACCGACATTACCTAGGAGTGGTTTAGTTTTCCCCAGTTCTGGTGGACCGATTGCTCCATTCACAAACAATGGAAAATCTCCGCTGACGTCGCCCGTCAAGGACCCTTTAAAACGCTCTAATCAACTAAAATCTTTAATCACGCCGTCTTTGATCGCCAAGTGGAACGATGCTCCAGCTCCCCCCTCTGCCTCTAGTTCCCAATCTTCATCGATTTCCGCCATTAACCCCCACATAAACCCTCTAATCTTTGACTCCCCTCAAAAGACCCCATCCACTGTTGCCTCCACCCTGTCAACCGCAACCAACTCCCTCACCAAGACGAGATCCTCGACGAAGAGGGCAGCCACTGTGGCTGACCTGGACCGTGAAGATCCGGATGAAGGCAATGGTGAGAGCTTTTTCTCTCAATAGTTTTCTCTCTATCACACTGCTCTCAATCCCTTTCTCTCTATCAAACTCGGCATCGTAAAATTGACCCGTTGAACTTTGTAGAATCTTTTGATTTTTTTCGCACCGGCTCGGTTGCCGAAGTGGGTCCAATTGGGACTCCCGATGCGGACACTGATTATGAAGATGTTGATACTGACGCACAACCTAGCGACGACAACGATTCGATGCCCGACAGAAATCGTACCTTGCAAGTTTTGTTTAATTTTTGGAACCCTGTAGTTCCACCCAAACCTGAACCTTCTAACAGTAAGAAACGCAAGAAGTCTGGCGCCTCCCGACCTAGCCGGTTCAAGTCCACAGTTCCCAAATACGAGAATTTCAGCCCGAAGATCGCCAATAAACTCGTCATTACTCATGAAAACATTCCCTTTGTCGTTTTCAAGCTCAAATTATTTCAAACCTGCGCCAAGAATCGTCCCTGGGTGTCTGACTCTCTTAAATCAGCGTGGTGTGACCCTGACCAGACTCTCGAAATTCAAGGGTTTATCCACGGTTCTCGTCAACATAAGGCTGTCAAAATGGCCATTGAAGATGAAGATTCTTGCAGCGAATTCTTGGCCCTTGCGTATTCGGTTCCTAGCAGCACGGTCATGGGGTGCAAGATCTTACACGAGAATCCCAAGCTTACTGCAAACGCCAATCGAAACTTCCAAAAGAACGCAGCTAAGGCTCCTTCTTCAGATGCGGATCCTCACCCTGAATCGGACGCCTTGGTAGGTGTAAGTAACCAGAATCCTATTTTCCTTCTTGTAGTCAAGCTAACGGGACTAATTTTCTCAATTAGTCCCGCATCTTGAACCTCGGCGAACATTACAATGAAAAGTTGTTCACACGGTTTTCAAAGGACTTCAAAGCTGGAGAAAACATCGGACGCCTTATCAATCCAAAAGATCATGACCTTTGTATGATTCTCAACACTGCGCGCATCCGGACATGGGCGAATGATTGGGTAAGTGAATGTCTTTCTTATCTTTTTCATGTTATTTTATCATTCATAAGTCTTTACTCATCCTGCTCCATCCACTTAACAGGCTGACGAGGTACCTGGGGTTGATGAAGTCAACCCTCCGACGAAGCGACCGGAATTCCGTTGGTTTCCTGTGGCTGACTACGAGAAGGAAAAGAACCTTCTTCTCGGTTTATCAGGACCACCTCAGCCCGGTACCAGTTCTGGAACCGTCGTCCACCACAACTATTACGGTCAACCATTTCCTTCAGCTGCTTACCCCCCCTCTCAACCCAATCAGCCAGTCCCCGCGCCGGCAACGTTCCACCCTCCACCACCTCCACCACCTCCTCTCCAAGACCCACCTGAGGCCCTTCGATTGTCCCCGCCTCCAGGGAACCCGCACTTTGAAGAGTTCCTCATCTTCGCGGGCATAGACGCCAACAAGAAGAAGACTCGCGACATTTTGTCTGATCAAGGTATTGACTCGTTTAATAGACTTTTGGACCGCCAAACTTACAATTTTGATAGCTTTCGAAGTATGGGGATCGCCTTTGCTCACGCCGATGACCTTCACAAGGCTGTTCCGAAATTTAACCATTATCTCAAATCCTGATGAGATACCACTTGATATCCTTTTCGCCACTCGATCATATTTTTAAAGTTTCATTTTCAATGTTTGTTAACGCTATCCAAAAAACAATGTTCCCCCTAAAAAGATGATATGTTTCTGGCGTCTGGTTTCTCTGTTTTGATATCTACTTAAATTTCTTGTTTATTTATTTATTGGTTGTGTGGTTTGATGTTCAAGTCAATCTTTGTGATCGCTACCAATTGTTTGAGCGTTTTGATGTCCAAAGTAATCTTGATCCCATCTCGGTTATAAAATTGAAAGCCCTCAACACACGTGCCTCTTGACCATGTCCCCTTGTGAGTTTCTTGGCCGACTTAATGCCTCTGCCCAAAACCTTTGTGTTCATATCTCAGCGCGTTATAGAGAAGGATTTTTTTTTCCCTAAGTCTTTTGCAGCATATCAAAAATATCTTTGGTTCTTTATTTCTCATGTCTTTGGGAATGGAATTTTTTTTTGTACAATTTTGTTCACTTGCCACTTTACAAAGATCTTTTTGGGTTTGGAAAAGTCTATATACGATAGTTAATCATCTCATTATTGAGGCAATAAAATTTGTCACTGGGGTTTGCTCACTGTAAGTCTTTTTGATCGGATCATAATTCTTCATATTCAACATGAAAGGCGAAATAAACAAAGCAAAAGAGTTTGGCTACAAGCAATTTCATGATAATCAAAGATCAACCCCTAAATCCAATAGCCACATACGGCATATAACTTGTGCATGAGGGCACCTGTGAACAAGTTCCAAGTAACATCCATGATGACATCCTCTTTATCTTCAGCCGCGGTTTGGATGAGGATTTGGGTGCGTCAAAAGTAGGATTTGAGCACGCTGAAAGCATTCTCGATCGGATTGAAAGCTGGCGAGTAAGGTGGGAGGTACAAAATTCGGATTCCTCTTTCTGCCGCAAGTTTGTCAATACGGCACCCGTGGTGGATCCTTGCATTGTCCATCACTAAGACAGAGTTGGCCTCGGGGTATGAATTCATCAACGGAAACTATGCGGTTGACCAGTCAATAAATATAAGCGAGATGAGGGAAAATCGAACTCAAAGTAAGCTTACCAAACGGTGTTTGAGGAACCCCTCGAAATCTCTACGCAGGTAGCTTCCTTCTTGGCAGTCCAGAGCTAATACGCCGCCTTTGAAAATCGCCGGTAGGAGTGAGAACCGTTTGCCCCCACGACTCCAAGGGATTTGGGTGGTCCGTTCCCCTCGTCTAGCGCGTCCAAACTGCCTGCCGAGATGTCTCTCCTGAACTGAGCACTCGTCTGGATGGATCATGTTCAAAGTCAGCTATGCGTTCACAATATAAACCCCAATTTAAAATAAGTGAAAAACACATTGACCTAGGAAAACAAGCATGTTGGGGTTCAAAGCTCCTACTGCATGTAGATACCTCGCTCTCTTGGAAGGACTCTGGTTAGGGTGCACGGTTCGAGCTTTCTTGACGGTGAGGTGGAGTCGATCCTTCAGATCACTCGCAATTGTTTGTAACGAGACCCATTCGCCGGTGCGTCGATAAACTGCATGGCGATACTCGTCCAAGTACAAAGCAGGATTGCCGGCTAGTAACTCCAACATAAAATCTCTATCTTCGTCATTCAAAGCGGTTTTTCTTCCGATGCGCTCGTAATCTTCAGGATTACGAATTACTGCATAAGTACGGCGGTACAAGGAGTGCCAACGAGAGATTGTTTGCCGGCTGACAGGGGAGATCAAGAGACGTCGGACTTGATCGATTGTTTTCCCTGCGCGGAGGTGCTGCACCGCCAGCACCTTGATACTAACTTCATATGGACCACGTTGTGGGCCTCGCATTGCTAGAAGAGGGATGTGGAAGAGTCAGAACAAAGGTTTGAGTTTGATGGATTAAAAGGAAGAAGAACGAACTGTTGGACAGGTGGTGTGACGAATGGTCTGGGCGAAAATTTTTCCATGCGGCAGAATTTTTTTTTTGATGGGTTGATGGGGGCCGATGCCTGGTCTGTGACGGGGTTTGGTGCTGACGGGTTGTTCAGCCCGCTGCGCTGCGCATCGCCTGTACGCGCCTGTGGCGCCGGGGGAAAAAAGCTTCGAAAAGTGTCACCATGACACGACTTTCTAGAATAGCTGTACTCATCCTACTGATGACCACTGAATTCGTCTCCCTGTGAATCCTAACAAGTTAACTGGACACAAACAAAGGTAATCATATTTCATAGTTAAAAAAGGATGCAGAATCACAAGATCAAAGGATCCTATCTTGCTCATCAAAAGCATGCATAAAAGCCAAGGAAAGTAAAAACTCATTCATCAAAAGTTACAATCTCATATGTTTCGAAACAGGTAACAAGTCAAGATCTTATAGAGAATGTAACTGGCTAATGATCAGGATCGATGATGAACGAAAAAAAACAAATCCTTCTTTACTGAGGAGCACATATGATTTGGGATTGACTTACATATGAGATTTCAAAAGAAGAGAAAAAGCACAAACAAAAAAGGGAGAAAAGAAGCTGTAATTTTTTTTTGGATTTTTTGATATTTTTTTTTGTAGAAAAAAGAAAAAAAAAAGAATCGAAACCGATACCCCTCTTGAATTGAAAAAAAGGAATAAGATGAACTCAAAGAATGGATCAAAGTTCAATTCCAATCAATACCACCGAGTCAGCAACGGGATCCTCCTGATTACGAATCACATTTCCACCAACATATAACAAGCCTTGTAATAACTCTCTCATTCCAGATTGATGTTTATCAAGTACGACAATCACTTCATCTGCTTCAAGTTTCTCGTCAGCAAGATCGAGGATCTCCACCAAGAGAGCCTTGACACATTGTTTAGACATTGAAGGAGCATTGAGACCAAAGATGTAAATCGATCGAGTTCCAGAGTTCTTATCGACCAATACACCTTGAAGACCACCAGGAAGGGTAGCCGTGATGTTATGGATACCTTCGACTTCCTTCAAACCGTATGGGAACACATGATCAAGTGATTTGGAATCCGGACAGCTTGAGACCATCGAATCAAATGAGAAACTATCGGAACTTGGACTAGGAGAAAGCATTGGGGTCGAGGTGATGTTGGCATGAATAGAATGAACAGATTGCGAATTAAACATATTAAGGCCGATATCTTCAACCGAAGGACTGGTTGAATTAGACTTCATTTGGAGGAGCGAATGACTATTGGGTGGGGTCGAGTCGGGGGTAATAGGTGACGAAACTGGAAAATTGACAAAAAGGGTACGACTAGGATTTTGGAAAAAAGGCGCGGTGACATCTCTCACATGTCGGTCGCGACCTCCCAGATCGGGAGCTAAGGATAAAAGAAAAAGAAAAAAAAACATTGAAAAGATGAGTACTCAGATATAAGGAAAAAGTCATTGTTTGGGTCTGAATGGATCACTTACGCATTTTTTCAAAATCGACGTTAGGGCAAATACCGTGCCCCGTCGTCCAACGTAGTCAACGACTCAGTTTTTTCATTGAGGATGGTGATATCAGCAGATCGAGGGTTGGAGTTGAGGATGGCGCCATCGGTACCGGCTGCTCCGCTGAGGGCAGATCCGATACTGGCGCCAAGACTAGATTGATTTTTCGGTTTTAAAATTTCCATTTGAACCCGATTTCCTGAAAAGAGATGAAAGGAAAAAACAGAGAGAGATGTGAGTGATTGATTTGATGAGTTGAGTAGAAGATGAACTGACTTCAGGATGTATGATGAACGGTTGAACTTGAAATGTGAAAAAGGATGAGAAATGTGAAAAAGGAGAGTGAAGTGAGTAGAAGTTGTCAGAAAAAGGGAATCAGCAGTCAAGAAAGGATTCGAGTTTAAAAAGTGAATTTTGATTGAGACTGACGAGTTGAGTTGAGTTGAAGTTGATTGAGGTTTTTTTTTTAAAAATGGTAAACTGGATGAGCAGCGGCTGTGTTGTCAAACGAATCTCAAATTCAAAAGACACAAAACGGTTCAATGGGAAAAGCTAGTGGCTGAGTTTAGAATTTGAAGTCTTTTACCAGCTTAATCCTAGGGTTTTTTACCTAATTTAGACTTAATTTCAATCAGACTAAACTCTTTTGTCCATTTTCTCAGAAAAACCCAAGCCCTCGAGCCACTCAATGTCTCACGTTTGATCATCTCCGCTGAAACCTCAACTGTAAGATTTTTAACTTGCTTTTCATCCCGAGCTTTTACGTCTCATCGATCGAACAAACTAGAACCTTCGTCTCAAGATGACAAACAAACAAATCATCTCATCACTTCAACTTACAAATCCTCATCATCCATACTTACGACTACAATGACCATTTGTTTCGGACTCTCAAAGATCAAACTTTTAATCTTGGCAGGCAGTTACTCAGCTCGTTGTAACCAACACCACGGATCATGAATTCTATCACCAGAACAGATCAATTTCATGTCCACAATGGGCAAGAATCTATGTATCTCCAAAGCGATCAGTCCATTCATGAAAAAGAAACTAAAACTCAGTTTATCTTGCTCTGTTTCGGTCATTTCTTCATTTTCGGTGTTGTATATGTGTCAAATGAATTCCTGTTGCTCAGCAACCCACTTCACATACCAGTCATGACAGGTAGATGATCGTTTTGAGAAACCTTTCAAGAACGACCCACTCCATGAGCGATCTTGAAGCATTAAGGGTCTTGGAAATCTTCGGTGACAAAAATCATCGAATCTCCTCCAGAGTTGTGAAACTGACGGCTTTTGAATCGTTGGACAAATCCCGCGAGACAATCCAAAAGAGATCTTCCCAAAGATGTGTTCTATGTGATGTGTGATCCCAACAAGCCCCTTGCTATCAGTCTATATATATACTTCTTATATGTATGGCACTGGGCAGGAATAGATCCTCATCTGAGAGTCAGATAGGATTAAAAAATTTCAAACAAAGCAGGGCAATGAATGTATCAGATGACTCTTGCAGCTTATTTGCTACAGCACATTAATGTGTGGATCCCCTAGCAAAAAGTTTCTTTCAAATCGAAATTGAGTTGAGTTCATGAAGACTTTCTGGTGGGCATTTAAATGATTAACTCTACTTTGAAGATCTAGAATAGCTCAGGTTAAATGTAAGTAAACCCTTGATCCTCAACACGCAAGAAATGTGATGAATGAATCAACATGCATGAAAGTGTGGTCAAATCAAATGTTTGGGGTTTTCATAACACTTCAATGTTGTATATAGTCATAGGTCAGAGTGAGCCATGTTAGTAGAACCAAGGTTTTATCACACTAGGTTGTCATGATCTTGTGATTATCAGCTTGCTGTGTTGTTGCTTTCTGAAAAAAATAGATCTACAGTCAATTTCACAAAGCTTGGAAAGAATTCCGCGCCAATTTGCTCAAGTTTGGCGGGCAAAAGTTTCCAAGCTTTCTGAAATCGACTGTATATATTGACCATCTCATTTCTTCAATCCCAAAGATTGTTGAAATTGATTGCTAAATTGGGATAAGTTAGGTAGTTTTCTTCAATCAGATTGTAAAGCAAAAAATAATCATTTCCAGAAGAGTTATGGAAAGATAACTCAAGAATGTCTTGGAATCACTAGTAACAAATGATCTGAAAGCGTGTGCTTCAGCACTTAGATCACAACCACCGACAAAACTTATAAAGGATAACTCTGACCTATACAAAGGTTCAGATAGATTAGTTAAGCTATCACTATTTGATAGCTGATCTCTGGAGAAAACTAAGAGATGAAGATTTCTCTTCCCAAAGATAATAATTGTATTCACCTGAAAGCGTGCGCTTCAGCACTTAGATCACAACCACCGACAAAACTTATAAAGGATAACTCTGACCTATAACCACAACAACAAAGATTAGAAACTTAGAGGTAAGATTGAAAGAGATGAAAAGAACAATTTGGTACCTATACAAAGGTTCAGATAGATTAGTTAAGCTATCACTATTTGATAGCTGATCTCTGGAGAAAACTAAGAGATGTAGATCTATATGAGAAAAATTGAAATTGAAATTAAGACAACAGTTAACTCGATTGAAGATTTATTAAAAAGTGAAATGTTACTTACTTCTCTTCCCAAAGATGGGGAAAAGAGAAGTAAGATGAATTAAGCAATGTGAGTTATAAGTACTCGTTGATTTGATTACATTGGGGTGATTAAATGATGTCATTCTTCAATTTCACGTATGATGTCATTTCTAATGTGTCTTATAACATTACACTTGTATTTACTCTTCTGTTCATTATAATGCACTTGTTCAAGTCGATTGAACACTTCAACATAACTTTCAGTTGATGATGTGAATGTTCAAAAACTAAGAGATGGATGGTTTACAAATCAGATCATGTATGTCAGTTATACCATACACCTTCAAAGGGGGGATTTGAAGTGAAAATCTTACAGATGCAAAGTTGGGTGCTTGGAATGGGTGGTTTCTTACACAATAAGATAAGCCAGAGAGATACAATACCATCCTGATGGTGAACGTTTTTTTAGGGAAATACAAAACATGGATTACATAGAAGGGTAGGATTGAATGAATTGAAAAGAATTTAAGAAAAACAAATGTCTGGATACAATCAACTTGATCATATGTTGATTTATGTGGTATGAATTTTGATTTTCAAATCAAGAAGAAAGAATTTTCAGTGACCTCAAACAATGTACTACTAGTTTCCCCAAGTCAAGAGTGTGTGTTTTATAATCTAGTTTCATTTCATGCTGGTTCTTGCTACTGTGCCATAATGTTTCTCAAAGCAATATGCAGGCAAGTGAAATCAACAACATTTCGAAATGAAACTATTATTTGATGACTGTGAAAGTACTTGATATTATCTTACAATGATGTGAAATCCAATAGGGCATGAGTTGATAGCATCACATCACATCTGAGAATAATGATCTGGCAAACCTATGTTTTTATAAAACACTCCAACACCATGATCAAAATCAATTTTTACAGATGTTTTATGAATTCAAATCCTTACCCTACCAGATATGCAGAAAGTCAGATTCTGTAGTCCCTTTTAGGTAGTGAGTTTATCAACTGAGCTTACATTAGGTGCTTTCAAACTAGGAAAAAGTCGAAATTTTCACGAGAAAAATCGTCAACTGTGTAATTACAATACATGTGATACAAGACTGTAGTGCAATCACAGTTTTTCATTACATGCTTTTTTGCTCCTTCAAAATTGTGAAGCCCTACGAGGGAGGAGGAGGGAGGCCCTGGGAGGCCCCCTCCAAATACAAAGTCGAACTTTGTGATTGCACTACAGCGATGTATCAGATGTATTGCAATTACACAGTTCACATTTTTTCTTGTGAACATTTCAACTTTTTCCTAGTTTGAAAGCACCTATTGGAATGGAATGATAAAAAGTAGAGTTCATACATTGATAGCTTGTGGATGGTGGACACTGCAAACCTGACATGCTCATAAATCCCCACATTACACACTTGTTCCTATACTTGATCAACAAAAATGAAATTTGACCCATGATTATCATTCAAGATTTGAATAGCAGATATTAGGTTTTCTGAGATGACTGACTATTTTAACTGAAACTTCATATTACCATGGACAATATCATGGTTTGATCACTTGGGCACTATATCTGAGGCAGTGAGCAAGCAAGAATACCTCAGATTCAACAATCAAAGACATCTTATTTGGTGGTGTTCTGTTCAGGTCCCCATTGATTAAACTGGCTAATCTTCTTGACCTTTCTCTTCACCTGCTGTCTGAGGTATTCCTGGGATATGCAAGGTATACTGGATTTTCAAGTTGAAACAACATCATAGTAGAGGACATCAATTGCCTGCTGAAGTTGACTATCAAGTATTACAATTGGTACTCATTGACTTCAGGTATTACAATCAGTAGAGAGTAGTGTTGTTTTTCATGAAAAAACTGCAATTGAGTTCCAAAATTTCTGCACAAAGGGATTTTTGTTATCTTTGAACTTGGCTCAGAGTCATGCTCATTGAAATCTGATAACCACTGGGTGCTCAATGGAAACCTCTTCAAGGCCCTACATTTTGGCAGTTATGGGTTTTACATGTGATAGTTTTTGCCAGTTTTAGTGTGTGAGTTGTAGAAGTTGAACCCATGACGTCATTTTCTGTTGACCACGATACCTAAATTTGATGTAGCGATGTCGTGAAAACCTTCCACCCTTCGAACATCCTCGCTAAACCTGATTTTGATTTCGCCAGCTTACAACAAGAGAATAGCCTCCAGGAATCTGTTCTTGTCCATCGTTATCTCCCCTCTCGGAATCATTCACGCGCACCAGCTCCAAACCCACAGCTCAATAAAACTCGAGTCTTCGTGATGGGTAAGTTGATCATGTACTAGAGCTGAGGTTCACTTCAATGTGCCATGCACTATAGTGCGACTCAAGACATCATTGGATAGGCCCTCAATGAATCCGTGTTTTCCGACAACTCCTCGATTTGCAAACCAAGATGCTGATGTCTCTGCCCTTGAATTCTGGCATTTCTTCCCAATCCTTCGAATTGTCCTCTTGCCGGACCTTGATCGAAACAACTTTGTATGATTGGTGGTCTTAAAGGTGCGGGTTGTATCCGATCTCGAAAATGATTTACGGAACTCTGAAAATTGACAAGGTTTGAATACAATTCAGCAGCTGATCCAACGTCTGCACAAGAACTGGAAGACGTTAAGGACCTTGCGGCCAGAGAAGCAGAGGTCAGTCAGAAAGAAATCTTTCTTTCCAGGCTTAATTGACTTCATTATGATTATGTGGCTAAAATGGCGTTGCTATTTCGATCCTGCTTTGTGTCCTATGCTATGGAAGGCGAAAGCGAAGCTCGAAAAGCTATTAGCCCATAGACCGGAAAAGACGGAACTTGTCGAGAAGAACGTTTTGAAGCCTGGGTAAGCCAAAGTTGAAAACTCGTTTCCGATGATGCGCAATTCATCAGTTATTCCTTGTTCGAAACCACACGTGTTCAGGAACTTGGATCCATCATTGCAGGTAAGTCTACCTGCCAAGCGCTTCTCGCCTTTGATGACATATCCAGTTGCTAAGGTTGATGCACGACACTCTAGGCAACGCAAATTGAGTTGGCCAAAAATCAGTTGGAAGACAAACTCAACGTAGCGCTCTCTCATCGACCCAAGCCGGATGAACTAGTGAAAGAGGGAATTCTGAATGGTCAGTTTCATTTTTCACATTGGTGCTTCATCCAGCAACTGGTTTCATGAATCTGTTTTTTTGCTTTCACCCATGTCTTGATACCGTAGAGGATGAAGCACCTGCGATAAAACACGAGTAGCTTTACATATAAAGCAATAAGGTAAATATAGTCAGCCTTGATGGTCAAGTCCAATGATCCACAAGTCTTCGTCACTTTCTATAGAGGACGATCGATGAAGTGATGACAGGTGACACCTGGATTGATATCATGGCAAATTATGCGCAAGTATGCTCTTCATAGGATACAAGCAAGAAGTCACAAAAGCCGTTGTATCCACCCTTCACATTAATTCGTTGCTAGCGCCTCTTTTTACTACCTTGTTGCAGATAGTTAAGTCTTTTGCATGTCAATGAACCAGGTGTTGGATTGATTCTGATCATATTAGCTGTCAGCCAGGACACAAGATGTGATATCTCTTGCATAAGGTGCAAGCAATAACCTCTAACTGAAACTTGTCAAAGTTGGACAGCACCTGACCACCCCCAGCCAATATTTTTGGTTTCAACTGATGGTACAGTGCAACTAAATTGCAGGTCTATCAATCCACTCCCAAAAGGAGAGTTGGCTATTGAAAAAAGCTGGAACCAACTATTTTTGGAGACTTAAGGAATCATATCAAAAACTGAAAGTTTGTTGTGATGTCATTGATGACATGCACTGCCAGCGTTGATAGGTTCCTTGATGGGAACATGATTGCGAGTAGAATGGGTCATTAAATCATCTTGCACTGCACATCTGAGCCATAAATCATAGGCTACAATATGCAACCAACTGTGCCCCACCAAAAAGACACACCAATTTTTGGTTGTATATATGACCCAAAAAACCAATTTGGTAAACCAAACTGCAACAAAAGCCTCATACATATTTTTGCACATATGTGCAAAAATCATACATATTCTCCAAAACAACTTTTAGTTGCTAACTTAACTAAGTCCAAATCTTGTGCCTCTCATTTGAAAGTTTGCAGCTCGAGTTAAGTTAGTTTTAGTTGTTCCTTTTCAAATAACTGCATCTGCAATCTCTTGCCTTCTCTCACCTCTCTTTCTTCTCAAGCTAAATACCGCTTTGTCTTTCTTTGTACCTGGCTGTTTTTTCTCTCTTATGACGACCAACATCCACTCATCATCAGCTCAACCTCAATCATTTTAAACTTTACAAATTCAAAACCAGTTGATCTCATCAACTATCTCTTATAAACCTGACTTCAAACTTGTTTACCATCCAACCCAACTTCTTGTGATTCAAGTTACAATTCCAACTGTTTTCTCTTTCACATTCAAACTCATTCAATTTGAATCCAATTTGATTTATCATGTGCAAAAACTTGAAGTGCTTGTAACAGAACTATAACTGAAGTTTGAGCATGAGCGCTAGTACAAAGATAGTTGAGAGTGATGTAGGAAGAGTGAAATTTGGTTGATAGTTGAGCTTGAAGAAGTCAATGATCTTGTTTATCAAATGGCAATGGCATTGTGATCAATGGTCTTAAGAATTTGATCATACATATTTCACTTTCTATATGCTTACCAAATGTTCCTAACAAACATGTGATTGTGTGATTTTACATAGACGTACCCGGTGAGAAAATTTCTCACTGTGATGTAAAAGTTGCATTAAGTCATTAATGCTTTTGTTTACCAAAGTGGGTGTACAGGTCTGCTCAGCTATCTGCTTATCTGGACAAGCAAATTGCATGTAATACATTCTGTGACTTTGTTCAGATTGAGACACACATTTCAAAGAATTGACTACATATATCACAATGGCTACTCAGGAAATATTCATGAAGCTGTTTAATGGTAGGAGAAGGGGAATTTGGTTGCTAGAACCCATGTTCCCATTCAGGAACCTTTTTAATGCTGGCAGTGAAAGGCTTAAACTTCAGAATGACTTTGTGGAATTGAGCTAGAAAGATAGTGACTTACCTTTGCAGTGTTGTGGTTGAGAAAGGGAGCATGTGCAGGTGTTTCTGTTGAGATTGAATGAAGTACTGATAGTCCGTAACTGTTACTTATACACAATTGTACCCTTCAAGAGAGGTAACTATCTACTTGCATGTGCAAGTCTGATTGATGCCAATGGAAAATGGCCACCAGTGTGGCCCAAGTGAACTGGGTTGCTTCCATGAATGATCTTCTTATGTACATGCATGCTTGTAGACCAAGTCTGCGCAAAAGTTCAAGAATTTTGCACCTGGCCCTCTGAGCCATCTTCTGTCTCTCCTTTCAGCTGGTCTTGAACGCAAAGGATGTCACAACTTTCCATGGCTGTGAGTCTTGGAAGCATGATCAATGATGGTAGATGCCACGGGGCTTGCAAAAATCGTCCAACAAGTAGAACTCCACCAGTGCTTGCAAGTGAAAGCAACACTGGGTAAGCTGAGCTCTCCGTAGCTGCAGCGCGGCGGAGCGGAGCGGTTTTTTTGTCCCGCTGCGTAACAAAGGAGCGTAGCTCTTTTCAGAAGTACCCCGCAGAGCTACGGGCCCGGGCAAAAAGTCCTTTTTTGTAAAAAGCTACGCTGCGGCACGGGTAGCACCGATATCCGGCACCGTTAGCTCCCGTGCCGTGGTCAAAATCCCCAACCTGTATGAATCACCACCTTCCTTGATATATCCTAATCTGGCACTTCATACGCCACTAAACGAACACGCACAGATGCTATTTCCCCCAATCTGGACATCACATCGACACATGCGGCGTAACCCACAGACCAGGGACTCGATGGCGAGGTATTGGATGGTCAACAAGGTAACTGCTGTCTTTTTCTCTCTTTCAATCTCAATCCTACTTAAATTGTCTTCACTTATTTCTTTTATTCTTTTATTTGTTATCGCCCACTACTTCCTACACTCTATAGCATACTTGTAGTAGTACCATGTCGTCCGTAACCTCCGAACGTCCGTCGCGGTCTCGTAAACAGACCAGCAACCCTGGATTGATCCCTCAGAGCCCTGATTTACGACGCCGAGTCTCAATCGAAAGCATCATCCTTGCTAAGTCTCAAAACAAACGCAAGAAACAGTCAACCGGTTCTACAGTAACGGTAATCACCTCTGATGAAGAATCCGTGGCTGGAGTGATTGAATCCGAAGGTAGCTTGCCACCTTCTCCCAAGCGGAAGAAAAGTAAAGCCAAGGCTAAGAAGCATAAGAAGCAATCATCAAAGAGCGATGAGGTTAGTACACATTAATACCAATCTTAAATCCTATACAAAATTTACAATCAAAACTAATATCTTCATCACACTTGAATCAATAGAATGCTCGAGGAAGTGTCACGAGAGAGGAGATGCGAGCTGATTCCGACGAGGAAAATCAGAAGATTGTAGCCAAGAAGCGCAAGGTTGTGAATCCCGACAGCGACGCCTGCAAAGTCAGATGTTATTACGATCCACCTTTCCACGGAGTCGACAAAAATGGCAAACCTGACGTGAGTTTCATTGGATTTTAGTTTACCTTTTACACTTTTTCCTTTCTCTGCTCGTTTTGTTTTATTGACCATGTTTCCCTTGCCCTTGCAATTAATTGGTATAGGATCCAACCAAGGCCCCATTGTCATACCCGTGTCGATTCTGCAAGAGAGACAGGAGTGATCCAGTCCGAGTAAGCTTAAGCAACCTTACTGGCAATCTTTGAGTCCATCGAGATGGCTCTACTCAAGACAGCCGATCGGATGTTGGCTGCCCCGGTCGGCTCAAAGCTCGAGAGGAAGATCCAACCCTTGTACCCCCATCAGTTGCCGAAACTCGTCAGGCAAACGCAAAGGCAAAAGGCCCATTGGACGACTTTGTAGTATCTACCCCATCTTCCACGTTCTTCAACCTCACCCTCAACCAAATGATAAGTACTTGGCTCATTCGCCAAGCTCTACCGTGGAATCAAATCAAAGATCCCATCCTACGAGGTATAGTCCGCTACCTGCGAAAGGACGCCCACTTGTATGGTCGACGCTGGGCTGCCGAAGAGGCAAAACAGGTTGACTTGTCACTCAAAGAGAATGTATTCTCTGGATTAAAGATATGATCACGTTTGACTGATACAGTGGTGGTAATCTCGAGTTTAACTGATGTTGGTTTAAACCACTTTTTTCAAACCTTCAAGGCTCTCAAGTCTAAGTTTAACCTGGTTCACGATGGATGGACCACCAAGGGAAACCGCCACGCATTCATAGGGGCAGCTGTGACCTTTATAGATGACAACTGGAACTACCGAGTCCGTCACCTTGCCCTCAAATTGATCGTATGGCATCACCACGGGCCTTGGCTTGCAGAGCCTGTGGTCAACATTTTGGTCAAGCATGGTCTTTTTGAAAAGATTAGTATAGTATCTTCTAATCTTGTATGTTCTCTAAGTTCCTTTTAATTTTTTTTTTGAATTGTACTAATACCTTTTATTTATTGTATTACATGCTTTCTCAGACGACCGATTCCGGGTCAAATAACAAGACTATGGCAAAAGAGATGCACAAACAGTTCTTGGGTAAAGATCATCCCTCTTACACTTGGGACCCGGACTGTATGCATATTTTCTGTTTTTGCCACAAGATTGCGTTGATTGTCAACGCAGGCTTGGCAGCCCTGGGTGTGAAAGCACCTCCACCTATGAAGGCAAAGGAATCCAATCGAGGCAATTTTCCCATTTTCGAAACTATCGCCGAGGAAGAAGAGGAACACCTAGCATCAGCATCGGATTCAAACGATCCAAAACAAACTTTGTGATCCAATCCGGAATTTGAAGATCAGGATGTTGAGCATGACCTACAAGATCTGGAAGATCCACCTGAAGTACCAGCTGAACTTGATGACGAGGGGGAGTGGGACTTGGCTGACGCTGAAGAAGAGGCGTGTCCAGAACTCGCAATCGAAGAGAATGAGGCACAGCCTACCCATCGTCGAGAAGCAAACCACATTGACTTTATTTTGCGCAAGGTAAGACTGTGTTCAGAATCCGAACACCTTGCTACAGTGTACCTACTGATTGTTTTCGCACTTCACATTCAGTTGGACTTCATTGTACGTTGGATTACTCGATCTGCGGCCTGGCGCAAAGAATTCAAAAGGGTAAGTTTGCAGAAGGGCTTCAGTGGCTCACTTATAGCGGGCTATGGGATCAGATGGAACATCAAATATGTTAGCCGTCACAAAGCATGGCTTGCCCAAGACGTAAGCAGTTTTATCTCCTTTTATATTCTCAAATATAGATAGACTGACTCTAGTATATTCTTTTGTTATTTCAAGGTCATCGACCAATTATGTCGAGATGACTTAAATATAGTCCACGCTAAGCATCGGTCAGCTTGTAAGAATAAAAAGCCTCATGGCTATTTCCACGAATTGGAAATGACGACCACTGACTGGGCTCAAGTTCGTAAGATCAA